TCATAGAACATTTTGTCGTAGAATATTAATTCCAATTCCTTCTTAAACACTTGATAACTATCAATGCTTTTGATTCTATCGGGAAGATGATTGAAAATTCTAGGGATCATGATGTGAGGGGACTGCGCAGTCAGCAACAGTCTGTTTGGTTTGACAAATAAGTCTTGCTCCGCTATAGGTTTATTTCGAGTACTGCGATTCTGGTGCACCAGATCTATTACAGATCTAACTTCGTCTTTTTGAGTTGTTTCAATTCTTTTCAGTGTTCAAATTGTGTACATTACGATTTTATCATACGTCTTTAAGTTTCATCAGTTAGTCTGCTTTTTCGCGAGGCGACGTCGCATGCGACGTCGCCTTTTACGATCCACCTTAGAATTTAAAATTTTAAAATTTGAGGAACTGTCTAATTTCAAATTCTCTTTTCGACTTTTTGAACAGGTCTTACAATCGCTGACACGTATAAAGAGCCTACGTTTTCAAATTTTACAAAGAATTCCAAGTCGAATATTTAGCAGTAGTTTTTCAAATATTACAGATCTAACTTCGTCTTTTTGAGTTGTTTCAATTCTTTTCAGTGTTCAAATTGTGTACATTTCGATTTATCATACGTCTTTAAGTTTCATCAGTTAGTCTGCTTTTTCGCGAGGCGACGTCGCATGCGACGTCGCCTTTTACGCGGCTTCTGCAAAAATTAATCTTGGGGGTTGCCCACCTCCGAGTTGCCGGTTCGTGGGGTGCCCACAACTCCGGCCGCGTGCAACAACTTTTAATTAATTTGCCGTGCGTCGCGCGTACTATAAGCATGCGTCGCGCGTACTATAACCGTGCGTCGCGCGTACTATAAGCTACGTCGCGCGTCCTATAACCATGCGTCGCGCCTCTGACGATGGTGAAAAGCGCCCTCCGGAGTTCGCTTTTCGACCGTCGCACGTCCCATAGTGATACGTCGCGCCTGCTATAAGGGTGCGCACGGCCCTCCAGAGGTCGTCTTGCCCCATTCTGAACCCATCCCAAGGGCCCCTATTCTTCCTAGCAGTCCTCTTAATTAAGATTGTAGGAAAAGAATTGCGTCGCGCGTGCTATACATATTGCCGAGGTATCGATGGAATAATCGGTTTCCTTAACAATTTCACCGCCACCAGTATTGAGCGCGCGACGTAAAACCATTATTGTATGCGCGACGTAAAACCACTATTAAACGCGCGACGTAATGCAAGTGATGCCAACTGGAATCAGGGATTTTGGGAAACACGTCGCGCGTACTATAACATTACCATTTATTTTTTTTTTTTTATAGAATGTGATTTCCTGGTACAGCTAGGCATCATTGACAAAAGCTTCAACAGGGATGAATTTCAGCCAGCTAAGAGTAGGCTCTTTTTTTATCGATATCACAAGTGCCTGCAGTTGGGGTGGTTTTAAAAGTTGTGTTGTCTGAACGCGCTGAGTTGACTGAATGCATTCGGTCTAAGAGCGCTTTGGTTGGAATGCATTCGGTCTAACGCCGCTTGGCCCAAATGCATTTGGTCTGGACCAAACGCAATCCACAATGAAATCTCCTACTCTCAGCGCGTTCGGTCTAACAACTTGGTCCAAAAGCAATTTTTTTAAGAGCTGCCAACTTTTGCGCTATTTTTTTGTGATAACCGCGGAGACTACGTTCGAGCAGGTTTAGAAGGAAATAAGAGGTGCGCAGAAGAAAATGATACAAATTCAATTTTTATGAGACGGCAATTAAGTTTATTTTTTAATTTTCTTTGGCCTATACAGCAACCAATTAATTAGTTAATTGGTCTTGTTCATTAAGGCCTGCTTATTGACATCTACAACTCCTGTTTGCGGCAAATCGGCCCGAAATTTTTGGACCCAGATTTTTTTATAGATTCCTACCTATCAGTAGAGTTGATTGCACAAAGAAAAATGGGGGGTAGCGCCGATTATTCTTGAAATATGATTTTTTGAATTTTTACATTGCGTCTTATGGAAATTTTTGTTTTTGGTGATTAAAAAAAAACTGCCCGAAATTTTTTGCTCAAAATTTCACAAAATGATAAGCGAATGACCCTAAACAGATTAGCAGAAAAAAATTTGAGGGTCCAAAAAAGTTAGAAAAATTCCTGTTTTGATAATAAAAAATATAAATTGAGGGCGAAAATTTCCCTAAATTAACACTTTTAAAACCACCCCAACTTGTGCTATCGTTAAAAAAGAACTACTCTCAGCTGGCTGAAATTCATTCCTGCTGAAGCTTTTGTCAAGGGTGCTTGTACAAGGAAATCACATTTTATTAAAAAAATTAAAACAAAAATAATAATATTAATAAAAAAAATTGAAAATTATTAGAAAAAAAAATTTATACCTTTATACCTGATGAAGTTCATATTCTGTAAAGATCTCTTTCCTGGTTATGTTCTAAAACCACTGTGATAATGTTTCAAGGTTTTATCACTAAAAATAGCGCAAAAGTTGGCAGCTCTTAAAAAAAAAATGCTTTTGGACCAAGTTGTTAAACCGAACGCGCTGAGAGTAGGAGATTTCATTGTGGATTGCGTTTGGTCCAGACTGAATGCATTCGGGCCAAGCGGCGTTAGACTGAATGCATTCAGACCAAAGCGCTCTTAGACCGAATGCATTCAGTCAACTCAGCGCGTTCGGACAACAACATATACATTGTGTTCGTTAGCTTATACCAAAATAAAATTATATTGAATTGAATTAAGAGGGGGGAGGCGCGAGACCTTAATTAATCAATGATGTCATATATATCCCTTTATTAATTGATTTGAAATTCCAGAAATCGGTAAGGGGAGGGGGCCCTTCCGCTGGACTTAATTAAATTAAATGATTACGTCATACCAACCATGCCACCATCCACACCGCCGTCCACGCCGCAGAGTCTGTCGAGCCACCAGCACGTACGCATCTCTTCCGTCGCTGCATTTGCGGGGCCGGCAGCATATTAAAAAAACAAGGTAGAAATGACGCAACCTCCTAAGAGGTATGCAATGCCGCCTTACATCGCTGTTAGGCGGGTTGCTGTCGCTGGTATTTTACTCAAAAATATATTGAATTAATTGATTTATTAGTAAAAATGCAAGAATTATGAAGCTGAAATGGAACATTACATGCCTTTCTTGATGAAAAAATCACATACAAAATAAATATGAAATTTATAAAAAAAAAATACAATCAACAGGAACTTATAATGTTTGTCGACAGTGTGAAAATTTATCTACTAGGGTGAAAAGAATTTCAATTGCAAAAAGACGAATCGCCTTTATTTATCAGAAATTTACTTGTCAGAAAATAATCTTTGGCGATGATGTGTAAATTTCTTATCAAAATTCATTGCTCATTGTCAGAGATAGTATTTTTTATCGGTCAGAAATTCAAAAGTAAAGAAAATGAAAGGTCAGAATTTAATATTTTTTTTTTTTATAATCATAGTTTTAAGGTCAAGTGGACGTAAAATTATAAATTTTTTATAAGCAAATATGCTAAGCAACATATGTCTCACATGGAATGTTTCTCGTTTCTCGCTTATCATTCAGTAAATAGAAATATTAATTAATCATACTGAATTTAACTTAATTTTTAAGGACAAACTAAACCTTATTTTATTTCTCAACCGTTTCACTCGTTTTCACTTAGTTCTTCAGATGTTAAATATTTACTTGTAGAGTTTTCTGATGAATTTTATTCTGGAAAATGAATAATTTTGCTTGCGTTCTGATAAACAATTTCTGACCAATTATTTTTCAATAAATGAAAAAAAAATTTCGGATAAATGTGATAAATGCGGGGTTCTAAACAAGACTGCTGATAATATATGTTGAAAACTGAGTAAATTTTGGTGTTTTTTAAGTTGACTATGCCATTGGAAATAGAGAAAGATTGCCAACATATGTCTAAACACAAAAATGGCAATTGAAACTGATGATCAATAAAATTTTTTTATTGATTTTATTAAAAAATTGACTTATTTTGAAATTTGATTTTTTTTTATCTAGTGTGTTTAATTAAATGAATCTTTGGAATTTTTATTTAAAATCCAGAGATAGCAACGCTCATAAAATAATATAATAAGTAGAACACGAGCAACAGCAACCCGCCTAACAGCGATGTAAGGCGGCGTTGCATACATTTTAGGAGGCTGCGTCATTTCTACCTTGTTTTTTTAATATGCGGGCCGGCATCGCATTTGTCGCCGCCGCCGGCATCGCATTCGGCGCAAACGCATTTGCCGGGCCCGGTATCGCATTCGGCGCAAACACATTTGCCGGGCCCGGCATCGCATTCGGCGCATTTGCCGGGCCCAGCATCGCATTCGGCGCATTTGCCGGGCCCAGCATCGCATTTGCAAACTTTTTTGCGAATTTTGCATTTCTTGCTTGTGCGCATGGATCAAAATTGAGGATAATAATAAAGTCTTTGTTATATATTAATAAATTAGCTGTATTACTTCAATATATACCCTACGACGTCATATAAATTAAACCGGCTATTTATCTCTACTAGCTTCAAATCACAACAAGAGAAAATTTTGTATAAAATGTGCTCTAGAAAGCCGAAGGAAAATATTGAAAATCAATTTAAATTTAGTAATATTTTGCCGGTCGACACAATTTTTGAAATCAACTTGTTACGAGGAAAATAATTTGATTTGGACCATGGCGTGCCTAAACACCCATTCTTTTAACATCAGAATCCTGAGATAGAACCAATGAGTGAAAACAAATTATCTTTGATTGCCTTGACTTTCCCATTTTTTATTTTATTTTTTATAATGTGGATATTTTGTAAAATATTTAATTCAATTTACCTATACTGGTAAGAAGTCGGAATAAGGAATGAAAAAAAATTAGGATAGAATTGGCAGCCAGCTCTAGATAACAACTTACTTAAAGTTAACTCATGTTTTGAAAACAAAAATGTTTTCCATTAAAAAAATCACGGTTTTTTTTATAGTTAAGGCATAGTGAGTGAAATCCCCAAAGTGATATTTCTTGATATTTTTTATTCACAATAGTATTAGAGGATTTTAATTACAGGAAACTCAATTTTTTTCTGGGTGACGTTTGCAATAAATATGGCATGAACAAAAGCATCTGAATATCACCTATATAAAACCTCAAAACACCATGGTTGCATTTAGAGATCTCAATGGATTTAGTAGGGCTTGGAACGGTCTCTACCACCTCCCCCAAATCTGGAAAAATTGCAGATTATTAATAGTTTTACTCAGAGGCAATAAGACAACAAAGTTAATAACTTACCCTCCACTGCCACCCCCACGCATTGGCCCTCCTCCGCGACCAACCCCTCCGCGTGATCCTCTGTCTCCACCACGAAAGCCACCTCCTCTTCCTCCACGATCTCCACCCCCACGGCTACCTCGGCTTCCTCTATCGCCAATTCCTCCTCTTCCACCTCGGATAACCCCACTTCCTCCCACACCATCAGGCCGGGAAGCATTGCAACGGTTGCACTGGGTCCGCCAAGCAAAGTTTGTGTTGCCACAGTCAGGGCTAGGACACTTCCAGTCACCCTCTCGACTTCCAAAACCTACACAAAAATTAAATTATTTGAGGCGATTTGTTTTAAATAACAAAAAAAAAAAAGATCACTGGGTGTTAATATTGGTCTTTTTAAGGGGGTATAAGCGTGGTTCACTACGCAAAACAAGAACTGCTTTTTGTCATGAAAGTACAACCATTTCTCTTCCCTTCATCGCTCCGATCGCTTGCCTTCCGCAAGCTCAATAAGGGCACAGGCTGACAAGACACTTTGTCTTGGCCTGACCCAAAAAAATAATAAAAAAAAAACTTAAGCCAGTCTAACGCTTTACCATTGACACCAAACATTTTTAGTTTGTTCAACTATCTATCAGGTACTAACGATCCAAACGCGTTTGTAAAATCATACAAAATAACATTGATCTTTTCTCTTTTGTCTAATGAGTCGTACACATTTGTCACCATATCATAAAGTGCAGTAACCGTAGAACGCTTTTTCCTGAAGCCATGCTGCTGGTCAGGCAAAAAGTTATTACCTTCATAATATTTCTCCAGCTGAATTATAGAACTATTTGCAACTTTGCAAATATATGTCTAACGCAATAAATTTTGATCTAATCTTATCTTATCTAATCCGAGTTAATAAACTCCTCGTACCACCAAGGTTCTTAAGCTGTACAAATTGTTTCCTATTTGATAAGAAGAAGGCCAACCACGAGAGCACAAGTTCTCGTTTAGACCGTATTGTTTTAACTTATGTATAAGGAGAGGTGGATGAAGGGTGCCAAATGCGTTAGAGAAATCGTACAAGATAACATTCACTTTTACTTTGCTTCAACTTTCAACTGATTCGTACAAAGATGTTACATAACATAACTATACAAAGAAGTTACAGTATTTTTCCCTTTCTAAATCCACGTTGCTCAGGTATTTGGATATTATTAGTATTCAAGTGATTTTCCAATCTACGTAAAAAGGCTTTCTCATACACTTTTGATATTGATGATGTTATCGCAATTGGTCTATAATTTGAAGGGTCTTCTTTTTCGCCTTTTTTAAACAGTGGGATAATTTTAGCAAGTTTCATATTATCGGGGAAACTACCCTTTAAGAATGACTCTTTTATTAAATAGGTAAGAGGCGCAGTAATATACATTGAAATTTTTTTCAGTACAGTGGTTGAAATTCCATCCCACCCAGATGAATTTTTATTATACTATATATTTCAAACTCCTCAAAAAGCTGTAGTTCTTGTACCATATTACAAAGGTTATCAGTCACTTTGGAATATGGACATTAGAAGCTGGATTGGTCGAGACGCCATTTTTCGGTTTCAACACCCCGGGCGGCCTGGGGTGGTGAAACAAAAAAAATGGCGTCTCGATCAATCCAGCTTCTAATGTCCATACTTTGGAGCAATCGGGTAAATTTATGTTATTTAGGTCAGGCTCCGGTTCAACAAATACATTTTTCACCAAAGGCGGCGCAAACCCTTGGCTTTGTGGCCCGCAACCTGCGCGGCTGCACCCCCCCGAGTTAAAAGAATCGTGTACCTCTCTCTCGTAAAGCCCAGTGCAACCCATACTTGTTTGCAAATTGGTTTCTTCATAAAATTCTAAGTCAAATAAACAATTTACGGCAGTCAGTTCTTAATTTTCTATTTTCGAATGTTATTTTACTTTTTTTTTTTTTAAATTTTGAGAAGATTGAGATTTTCCATTTGAATTTATCCTAAATATTTGGATAAGCTGAACAAGGATTTTTCTTACACTTTACCAAATTTTACCTAAGTATATTTGTTTGTGGCCCGGGATTTATTTTAATTTTTTTATATAATGAATATTCTATTAACTAATTTTTTAATATATGTCATGATAGAGATTATTTCAAAAGATGATTGAAGTAGACTGATATATGCAATTGAAATCAATTATAAAATTAAAAATTTAATATATCAAAATTCGTAAAATTGTCTGTGACATCATAATTGTAATTCTTAAAAAAAAAATTCATCGCGTAAATTTTTCATCTAGAACATCAACACAAAGTAGAAAGAATTAATTACTTTAATTTGAAACAGCTGATATGCTAGATGAGAAAAGCGTAGCGGAACAAATTTTATCCCGCCGTCAGGGGATAAACTAAATTTTCTCCCGCTTGAGTGCTTCATTTTTATTGCCGAGCTAAAATTGTCCTAACACCATCCTTCCAGGACAAGTCCTCCGAGGGGTGGGGTGGGGGATCTCTAGTGAATCTCCCCCAGTGATACTTTATATTATTACATTTTGGGTCTAAAACCAAAATGAAGTGGCGTTTTGATGTTACAGAATCAGACTAATTCTGCATAATTATTGTCTTATTTCAAAAATTTCACTTACCGCCACCTCGATCACCTCCCCTATCGCTCCCACGATCTCCAAAGTCACGATCGCCACGATCACCACCGCTTCCTCTTCCACGACCACCTCCGAATCCTCCAACACTACCCCTGCCGCCACGACCCCTAGAGCTAAAGTCTCGTTTGGTTGTGGCCAGCTGTACCTTCACCATGTTTCCTTGGAATTCTTTTCCTAAATATCAGCAAAAATATTTCAGACCCACAAGTTGACTTGCTACTTTCAGCTCACCATCAAACCACTCAATGGCAGACCGAGCTGCGTTGGCATCATCATAAGTAACAGTGGCCTCTCCCTTGGACTCTTGAGTGACTTTATCACGGTATATCCAAATCCTGGGTTTTCCACTACGCTTGTCATTCTGTTAAATAGCAATTATTTAGCCACAATTCAAACTTTTCAACTTTGCATTCACCTTGATTATGCCAATGGACCCAAAGTGCTGAGCAATGTCCTGCTCACTGATGCTCGTGGTCATTCCAGATATGAATATGGTATCTTCTTGCACATGCAGCTGATCACCCCCTCCTCCAAAACCTGCGCCTCCACCTAAGGAGCATACTTAACATGTAAGAATCACTATAAAATTGATTGACTTCCTTAAGTTGCTAGTTCCCTAACTTAAACACCGTGCTTAAGGCACTTCACTGCTTAGAATATCACCATTTAAATTGAATCTGCCAACGAGCGTGAGCACAATTGCATTTATTTAGCGAGCTCGTGGCCCAAAACCTCTTCACAATTCACCTGTTACAATAGGGCCAATTACGGCGCCCAGTAAAACTCATTACCATTACCACCATCTAACTAACAATAAAATATTCATGGATTTGAAAACCAAATTGTTGGTTGCTTGTAAAATCATGGGGAAAACTGAATGTACTTCTGTGATTATGCATTTAACACTTTCAAGTACTTTAGGTATGCTGCGTGAGTTGAAGAAAAGCTCAGGAATCGTATGATATAATCTAAAATTTGCATGTGGCTCACGTTACTGGTGGTCACATGCAGTTACCTTTGTTAAAACCTCCCCTGCCGCCACTGCTAAAACAGACCAAATTCTTATGAGATCAGGAGGACTGTGGTCGTCATATGTTGATCCTCAGGCTTCAGGCGCAAGTCCCAAGTCAAGTAGATTGATTGGCAGGCAATTCAAAGTGTCTATTTGAATTGTCTGCCAACTCCAAAAGGGTCAGGAAGTCAAGAGTCATTTATTATTGTGCTTAGATCACCATTCAGGGAGAAGTTTTCGTGACACCCTTAGATTTTTCACTTAACCTAATACCAGCTCTTTTGGCGGGAGACCTTAGATTCATTGCCTTTTACCTTATGCAAGGGATAAAAAAAGACGCCAAGAGACTGAACACCGGATCGGTACACACTTATTTGGGATAAAAATATGCTTTTTCATTCACCCTTTGTGTATTTTACTACCCTAAATATTGAAGTTTGCAAAATTGTATAGAGTACAATTTGTTATGTAGAGGAGGGGTTGGGGAATACCAAGATTTGTCAGACGTCGTTGTTGATTTTTACTCTGGAACTGACTTTGAAAACACTTTTGTTACAGAAAATACCATTGAACTCAGGCAGAAACAGGAATTCATTTTGCCTTTATATGATAATTCAGTGTCATAATACCACCTCTGTACTGTTCAAAATGAAATTGAGACTTTTTTGCTGGATGCGTCTAGATAAGAATGAATTTTTTATATACGTTTTTTATCCATTTAAAATTTGATCACTATTAAACAAACTCATAATTTGATTCCAGACAAACAGTCACATTTTCACCTTTCTTGTAAAAAATTATGGTAATAAAATATTTGGCTTACTTGTATCCACCTCCGCCGCTGCCACGGCCACCTCCATAGCCGCCTCCCCCTGAAGCAAATAAATTTGTACTTAGTATCTGCAGCTAATATATTTAAATTTGACCTATTTTTATTGTTGCTGCTGTTTATTTGTACATGCACATTGTTTACATAGTACTCAATATTATTAATTAAATTTTTGTTATATTTCTCTCCAATGAGGCTCTCTAGCATTTTTCCCATCAATTAAATCTGCCAGCAGAAATTTGATTTTTTTTACTGCAGTTCAAATTTTAGTCTGTCAACTTTTATGATCATTAGTCACTGCGGCGGATGGGGTCTTTTAGATCTTGAAAGTTTTAGCAAAATTGTCGCTAAATGCTAGTGGTGGTGCCGTTTTGTCCAACATTTCCTCTCAAATAAATTGTTTCCAACAATTGAATGTAAACAATGTGATGTAATAATTTGGACAAAGGATGTGACTTCTTGATATTACTGTTGTTTATACGTCAAAATTTAAAAAAAAATATTACCCATATTCACTTGTTACAAACAATTTATTTGAAAAGAAGGAATAGACAAAAAGGCACCACCACCAACAAGTTTTGCTAAAGCTTCCAAGACCAAAAAGACCCCACCCGTCACAGAGTCTCGATTGACTTTTTTTTACCAAATACACATTTTTACCTGACACCACAGAGTATTAATATTATCAGTGCACAGCACCTATTCAAAATTCATTTTATGCGAAACAACAATATTTAAGTGCAATAATGTGAAATAAATTGGAGCAATTGAATTAGGTGTCACTTATTCTTCAAAAATTTTATGAAAAATGGGGTAGCTTTTCCTCAAGCTCGGGCAATGTAAAATTTACCTCCAAAACCTCCACTGCCTCCATAGCTCCCTCCAGATGGACTAAAGCTGCTACCGCCACCCTGATAACCGCTGCCAGAGCCACCACCACTTTGGAATCCACTGCCCCCCTGAAAGCCGCCTCCTGAGCCTCCGCCAGATTGGCCAAATGATCCAAAACTGCCTCCGCTTGCTGAAAATTTAAGTTTTTTAAAATTTGTCGAAACAAAAAACAAATGCTTACGATAGCCTTGGCTTTGTGTTTGGCCCCCAGATTGCTGGCCCCAAGAACTTCCTCCTTGATGATTACCACCGCCGCCGCCACCTCCGAATGAAGACTGCGACGAAGGGTCAAAGCCTCCTGCACTGCCTCCGTTATTACCAAAACCACCACCTCCCTGAGTCTGGCCTGAGGAGTAGGAGCTGTATGAGCCATAGCCGGTCTGGCCACCGCTGCCACCATAGCCTCCGTATTCTGAGGAGATGCAAATTATGTTACTTATTTATTCTCGATTCGATGCAAAGTCATGGATACACACTACACAGCAAATAACCTATACACATTACACAAGTACAGAAAAAGCTGAAAATGAATATATCGGAAAAGAGACACAATTCATCATACTATTAATGAAGAGTGAATTTAATGGCTTTTTCGCTAGCAAACAACTTGCTACAGAACAACTAGAACAGCATTATATTCTCTCCATCGAAAGAGAGGGCACCGGCCGCTATTAGAGCATTTGTTCATAGTTATGACACTTATCACCAAAATGATTCAAACGGGGATAGCGATATTGCTGGCAAAAATTATACATCAAGATCGATTTAGAAGTTTAATTTTAAAAGTTTTAATCAATCAAGAATCTTTGAATTTTCAATTTTTCACACAACTCTTGAGTTATTAATTGAGATGATTGAAATATTTGAAGATATATAATAAACTTACGGTTGTCTGCCATTGTCAAACTACAACAAACACTGGCTGTGTTTCTTTAGGCTGCATTCGGAAACTCTCTCTTTCTCTCTCGGGTAACAATCTGACCGTTCGCAAAGTCTCTCCTCTCTCTCGTTTTCGACGTCACTGATGACGTCATAGACGCCATTTTTTCTTATCCACTTCCGCCGAAATGCTATCCAGCCCATGGACCTATAATAATCAATGATCCAGCCATTGATTTACATTGATTTATTAGGTCCATGTATCCAGCTCAAGTAGAGGATTGAAAACATTTGAGCATCGGGAGGTGAAACAATGATAATAAAATAATAAAATTTCGGAGCTCGCATGAAACCGGCGTCTGCAAACATTTGAAGGGCCAGATTTTAGCATAAAGTCTGAAGTCGCTTTCTTTTTAATTCATCAACTCAATAACCAAATTAAACGACGGGAACTACACATAGGGAACGGCCTATTAATTAAATCGTAAATGCAATCTGAAAACTTTATTTTTAATTATCATCTCAAAGTAAGAAAATGTGGTAAAAAATTAAATAATGATATTTAAAATAAGTGTTTTAAGAAAAAAAAGTTAATTTCCACTTCCCATTTTGTGTTACTTTTTAATTACTGCATATTTTTAATTCATCACAAATATTCTTGAAGCGATACTGCTTATTAAAAAAGTTTGCATTAATCTTAACAATAAAAAAATAAGATATTATGGGGCAACTCATAAAAATTAAGATTTTTGTAAATTAAATTTTTTTATTAAAGCGGATAAGTTGAGCCAAAACGGTTAAAGCAAAACTTCGTTCACCGTTCACTCATCAATAAAATAAAAAATCCTTGCCAATTAATCAAAATACTATATAGGTCTTTTGTCTTTTGATCCTTTGCTTTTGCGTTGGCTTTTGCATTTGCACTCTGAAGGCAAGTGGGCGTGCCATGTTACCCTACCCAGAGAGTAGGAACCTCCTGAGTAAAAGTGACGTCACAGGCTGTTTCTCCCGGAGAGGCCAGTGGCCAGTTACCCGCGGGTAGGGTTTCCGAATGCAGCCTTAATGGAGAAAAACTTGGCCAAGTTGGCGGGACTCCTGGCGGCTGTTTCTTTAAACGCCAAGATGCACCAAAAGTCCCCTCCCCTGACGTTAGTTCGCGCTCAGTGGCGCTGTTGCTAGTGTGAGGACTCTTTGGTGATCTTGCCGTGTAATTAAGCAGCCAACTCTGCCAAGAATTAATAACAAGTGACAAACGAAAATGGAAAGATAAGGAAATGTGTTCCGCCCACTCATGTATGTTACTTGTTATTTTTTACTTGTTGCTTCCCAAAAACATAATTAGCGACTTAATTGTACGATTCCAAGCTTTTGATTAATGTAATCTTCAGTTAAACAAAATTTTCCTATTAATTTCGTAGCGTTGATATTATTTCCGAGACAACCTTTGCGCTATTTGCTCCAAATTTAGTCAGTACTTACTAACCCACCCTAACCTCGTAATTTTTTTTAGCTTTTTTTACTATATATTCAATGAATAACCGATGACTTTTATCCGCGCCTTTCGCAGTCAGCACTTTAATCGTTTGTATTGTGTATGTTATAAGTTATATTAAGGACTTCTTATTGACATACATAGTCAAATCAAGTCCTTACAACAATATAAACAGATTTTTGCGATTGTTGAAGGACAATTGGAAATTTTAATCACCATTGTTGTAAAGACTTGATTTGACTATCTCAATAAGGAGTCCTTAAACATTTCTCAGCAAAATAATTTATGTGTAATTTTGATCCATTTTTTGTGTGCCTGATATTTTCTAAGAATTGAATTGAATTAGTGTCTTTGAGATCTTATAATGATTAACAATTTTCTTCGCCTTTTACCTTTAAGATGTTTAATAATTAAAACTTGCATCAATTTTGACAGGTTGCTATAAACTCTAACCCACATTTTCCAATTTTGTTTGTTAGTCGAGTGAGTTAAATGATGGGAAATAATTATAGAAATAAAATATGAAACTAGCTTTTTTGTAACCCATCAGAGTAAACAAAATTAATCTTTCTCAATGAACATAAAAAAAAAATTAAAATGAATTTATCTGCTGCTTGTCAAGTAGGCTGCAGAAGTACTTTCTTCAATGGCCACTGGAATTTTGGTGGCGCTCGCAATGGCGGCTAATGCGCTGGCCAAGTTGCCCCACCCCAAAAATGGGGGATTCTTGGCGAAGTTGGCCATAACAAAAAGAAAGTGTCTGGCTGTTGCGAGATTACGAATACGACCAGGGGGAGAAGGGAAGGGAGGAAGGGACGTCTGAATTCTGAATCTACCGATTGGAATAAGAAAACGACTTTTCACTTTTTCAGCAAGGAAATTCGACTTGGAATTCGAGTTGTTAAGGCTTAAAGCGAATAATTAAATTCCCCTGCTTAAATGCAGGGCTTCTCCAACCAAGCTCCTCCATTTCCTCAGCTCCAACAAGATAAACAAGAGGCTGCTCCTTAAAGCCACTAAAGTTAAAGCTATAGTGTACTTGAAGCTCCTTGGCTGCTTTGCCATTGACGCGGTTGGCGCCAACTGGTGGTTGATATAGCGTACTCTAGGTCTAGAAACCAAACCAAAGGTGTTGTGATCGGTGATCCCTAAAGTTTTTGTCGTCGTTTGTCTTTGCCGTTCTTAAAATATAATTTTCTACTGTACTCATAAACATTTTTCGAATTTTCTGCTAGAATGGAACCTTCAAGAAAGCAGAATAAGATTAGCGAGCTATTCACGGAGGGCTTCGCTGGCCTAGGAAAGGTGAACAACAGCTCAGAAGCAACGAACAGCGCTTCTGTCCAAGTAAAGTATTATTATTATTTAAATTTTCCTTGTATTATTCAATTCAATATAATTTTTATTTAAACTGACTTATGCATTGTATAAAGCTTTTGCAAAATGTGTCAAGAGCTAAGAGAAAAATCATTAAACACATTCATGTATTCGTAATTTTTCAATTCAAGGGCCAAGTGAGACAGTTAATCAGGGCTTTGGAAGACTGCACCCGTCTTGTGTCAAACGTTGATATGTTCAGTACAAACGAATGCCTTGAAGAAGTGTCCAGTCATAATCTTCGTTACCTGCTTCTACCTGCTCTGCTTGGGAAACTCACATTGAAGTTGTCGACTGACATCAGTGGTCGTTGTGAAGTGGTCAAGCTGGCAGATGCCTATTTCAAGGACTTCTTACGCAGATGTCGTGACTACGGTGCCATTGAGCATGAAGCCGTTATGCCATACCTTGAGGAAAATGAGGAGGGTGTCGAGACTAATGAAAATGTGCCACTTATTTCAAGGGACAGAAATGCTGACCTGGTCACTATGGTTCATAAGAGGAGCAACAAGATCAAGCAGTTTCAGGAAGAAAAGGAGAGAGAGCAACGGTTGAAGGAACTCCAGGCAATAGCCAATGGTGAATTTGCTGACGATGAACTTATACGAGAGTACCACATGACCTTGCTTAAAAGCTACATTGCCCAGTCATTGGAAGAAATTAGCTCCTTGCAGCAGGAGAAAAATATTCTGCAGCATATGGAACAACTGAATAAAGAGTCTGCAGAATATGACAGTGAGGTAAGGTTAAGTTGTCTATAATTGTTAAACACTTCAAGCAATTAATCTTAAGGACTTCTTATTGACATAGTCAAATCAAGTCCTTAAAACCATATAAACAGATTTTTGCGATTGTTGAAAGACAATTGGAAATTTTAATCACCATTGTTGTAAAAACTTAATTTGACTATGTCAATAAGGAGTCCTTAACATTTAGTTGCAAATGAAGTTTGTTGGTGTACCACAAGGTTATCTTTACACAAATCGAGATAAAAAAAAAATTGTAAACAATAGCTTCTAAATTTTGAGAGGACGTTTTAAATTTTCTGGAAAAGCCTTCTTTAGACAAAAAAAACGCATGCATAATTACACGAGTTCTGATCGTACAACCATTTTAATCTACGGGGGTCTGATGCAACAATGAAATAAAATAATACAGTTTCTATCAATGTAGCCTATCAGAGGATGATGCCATAAAATTAACACGCATCTTCCGAATGGCTAACAACAATGCAAATAAAATTTTGGTCAAGGACAAAATTTGGACATTTTTTAAAGAAATATAGATGGCAACTGCTGATTCTGTTTCTAATACCTCATTTATCGTGCTGTTTTAAACAAAAAGATTCAAATAAGCAGGAAGTTAAGTCATTTTATAAATACGTAACATAATATGCTGAAAAAGATGAATATAGACCAACCGAGTTAAATAATTTAGTTTCAAATGAATGTTTATTGGGCTCGAAATGAGGGCAATAAATGTTTTGACCAATTTGGACAAATAAACACAATAATAACTATGCCCCATACATGAACTCATCCAAATAAAAAAAAATTTTTTTAAAACGAGAGGAGAACATTAGTATTGCTCAAAAAGTAGCTTTTTCAGAACTGCTTAAAAATAATTAACCCTTTCTTTTAAACAAAAATTTGATGGTAATGCATTCCATAGCCCATTAGCATTATTACTATTATTTATCTTTATTGACTTATGAGGCATCACCACGATGTAATGACTCTTCCGAGTTTTAATTGAAATTTGGATTTTTTGTGACTCACAAATATTAATTTTTGACATTTAAAAAAAATTAAATTCTCAATTAAAAGTTATAAATTTTGGTTTGTATATTCCATTCTTTAAAGCCAAGTGTTTCTCGCACAGTTTCATTAAATCCACGTAAAAACCTCTTAAAAAAAAAAAATACATTGTATCAATTAGTTGAAAAAACTTCTTTACTATAAAATTTATGGGTATGAACAAATCGCATCAAACTACTTTCAAAAATCTTGTATCGAGGCTCCAAACGAATCGAAACAGGCAATTTGTTATACAAAGTAGACAAGCAACTCAAAGGGTTCTGTTTAGAAATTAACAAAGTCTGGGCAGGAACATACAAATCACTCTTAGCCCTGGTAATTATGAACTTCACTTGTTTTTTGAAAATAGTGTGGGTATTTACGCACAAATTTACATGATTCAAAGAGATAAATTGCTCCAAAAACAGGGAGAAAGTCGAACCAAGCGAAAAGAGGCCTCGCAGAACAAAGCGGCTCCGTACTGCGCCAATAGCGCTCACCCGCAAGTGCTCCCAACCCCCTTTTTTTTGCGCCAGAAAAACCTCGTCCATCGCAGTTTTCCGGCATCGTACATTGTTGTAACATAATCGTTTTAAGTACTCTGAGCTATTTTTATATAAGATTTTGTGTGTTTGTACTAAAATTTTCATTGAAACATTGGTAATTTTCAGAATTTTGCATTTTTTTATAAGGCTGATTTATTTTGGCTGATCTTATCATTAAAAATATACCTGATTAAATGGTTTTGCAATACCAAGCCCGGTGGCGGCGGTGGCCCAGTGGTTAGAATGCTTGCATTCTGATCAGTGGGTTCCTCGGCCGTCATGGGATCAATGCTCAGCCTGAGGCTCTTTGTGGAAACGAATAGTCTCTGGTATGCGAATCATTGATAACATTTCGGCTGACACGTCGGGAATTTGGGAGGTATGGCGCAAGCTGTATACCGACTCACACTCGAAGGTTTGCCACGTTTCATGAGCTGGAAGAACTCAGCTTGTGTGGCGAATGCCTGCGTTTCATTCCAAGTCCTTCGTGGCAAGGCCGGGGCAAGGTCTCAAGGGGGGTGGGGGGCCCATGCGAGCACCATCAAATCTGCTAGAAAGCCCCCGAACAAGGGTCAGGTTGGTTGGTAAGCACAAATGTGCTAAGGGTGCTAGACTTCAGCAAGAGACCGACCCAAAAGCCTAACTAGCTCACAAGTGCCATAAGCAAAAAAAAAGTTGAAATTTTTAATTTTCTTGGTTGTTTAATTATGGTTAATAATGTCACAGTAATCAAAGTGTGGCAGAATCAATCTTTTTACAAGTCTAATTCAAAATCATTTCTAAACTTTTCAATACTTTTTACGTAAACTTTTTGTCATATTCTAGACAATTGTGCATTCAATTTTCAATGCCAGGTTCTTATTAAAAACAACTCCAAGGTTTTTTGCTTCTTGCACAAAATTTACCTCAACATCCTTTAGGTACAATTTGTCAATACTTTATCCATAGCTATGAAAAAGTCTGACTTTGAAATTATTTTATAGATTTTAGAAGCTCAAAGACCGCCAAGCCGTCGCCCTCCACCCTCTAAGAAAGGACTAATGCCAGTAATCATCACTAAAGATCAGGCTATGAAACAGGTTTTTGGTGCTGGATACCCCAGTTTGCCAGTAATGACTGTTGACGAGTTTTATGAACAACGAGTACAACAGGGAATGTAATAGCTAACAATATCTATATATGCCCAGTTTAAATTTTTCTAATTAGTTTTCCTGTGGGTCAAGCTAGTGGATGCGGTTTAGGACCCTGCTCGCACAGTCATGAACACGGACAAGCTGCTGGAGTTGATATTGATCCCGAAATTGTCAAAGAGTACCATGATGAAAGAGATGACCCAGCTACTCTTGCACGGAATAGAGCTATGGATGATTACAAAGATGATCACCGCAGGGGTGAAGGAAATACATACAATAGGAGCTGAACATCATTATGCTTTATGTAAAACTAATTTACTTGATACTTATTTATTTATTCATTCTCCATTCAGATATGATTTATTTCTAAATAGTAATAACTTCAATGATATATAGAGAAAAATAAATTATTTATTTGTGGGAAATCCAGTCATTATTGAAATTTGATACTGCAACCACAAACATTTATTGCACATATTTTTAAACATGCTAGGTGCTGTCGGTTGCATGATCGTCAATTGTTTAGACAAATGAAATACAAAGATTGTAAAAATAAGTCATACAATGCAATTTTTTTTTTAATAAGTATATTGATTAAATTAGTACTTGTGACTAATCGCCTTGACGTGGAATTACGATCCGAGACGCGGGATATTTGAGACAAAGCTGGTGTAAAAAAAGTTGGAACATTCATGTTGTGACAATAAACAATTTTACTTTCCCAAAATTAAAATTCTTTCGCCCTCAATTAAAATGGTTATCACAACAGGAATTTTCTAACTTTTTTACACCGGCTTTGTCTCAAATATCTCGCGTCTCGGAACGTAATTCCACGTCAAGGCGATTAGTACTAATTTAATTATTTCCTGTTTCCAGTCGGTTTCCAGTGGTTTCTTTGGGTTTTAAATTCTCAAAAATATAAATTCCTTCACTAATTTAATTTTGCATAATCTACTTTTGTTTCAAGTAACTATGATTCAAGTGAAGATCTCGCGTTCCTGTGATGGCACACTACGATCCATTGAGCATTTGGGTTCTCCCTGTAGACGCACAACATCTTCGCTGATTGCGGAATTTGTCTTTGGCCTGTTAAATAAACCTTACTTAATATCCCTTAAAACAACAATAAATTAGAAACTCGAAATGAATGATTTTTTTTCAAATATCTTTTTTTTTACCTGTTGTGAGAATTATATAGGTGAATTGAATGTAATTCAGAAAGGATCACTCTCCTGATAATCAAAAATAACTATTTCACACTTTCAGAGGCTGAATTGCAAAACAGCATAATTACTTTTCCATAGTCATTTTTACACTAACAGGTAAAGAGTTGAATATTCTTAACTACAGGATTTTGGATATTTTAAACCAAAATCCTGTAGTTTGATTGCAAGAGTATTCAACTCTTTACCTGTTAGTGTAAAAATGACTATGGAAAGTAACGAGTTTATTTGCAAAATAAGATAAATTGTATATCAGTATTATGACATGAACGAGTTTTTCAGTTGTAAATTTGATTTGTAAATTGTTATAAATATGTGAATGACGTATTTTAAAAGTTGTCGAAATAAAAATAATTCTGAATCTGAAAAAATATAAAACATCTGACTACGAGTCCGTGGTATGTCGTGCTGTTTTGCAATTCAATCCCTAAAAGTGCAAAGTAGTTCTTGTTGAATAATTTTTTCATTTGGAAGTGAAATGAATGTTTTTTTTTTAGGGTCAGGCCAAGACTAGTCTTGTCGGCCTGTGCCCTTTATTGGTGGTGCAGAAGGCACCACCCAATTTATTTATTTTTTTATTAAATAAAATTATTGCAAGACATTTTATACCAATATTTCCCCCGTGTTCATATAAAAAATGTGTCTTAAGTGCTGTTTCAGAGTCAGCTGAGGCCAAGAGGCAGCTCAGGTTTCCGTTTGGTGCCAGCTCACAGAGAGCCCTGTTTCTTCCGTCCTGTCTTCGCAACTTGAGTTGCTGGTTTGCTGAACCCGGAGGCTCTTCTGGTTGAGAATTTGCTTCGCTAACTAACCTGAAATTTCATTTGCATGTGAATTTCATAATATATTTTATGTGGAATGTATGAGCTCTTTCAGCTATTCATTCTTCGGTGGAGAACCCAGCTACAGGAAGTTTTAAATTATAACAAAAAATCAGAGCTAGGCATGACAACATGTAGGCGTGGAAGTTATTTTATAAAAATACAAACTCTAAAATAATGTTGCCAGCAGTGGTAGCTTCAACCAATTGAATAGGATATTCCCGAAAACGAAACTGTGGCGCATTAACCCTTAGAACGCCCTCCTGGAAGTCAACTTCGTTGTCAACAACTCTCACTATTGATTCTTTGAGCAGCGGTCTGCGACCTAGTAATTTTCTCATCTGAGAAAATAAGACTTTCGTAAGTTTACTGATAATTTTAACATAATATATACATGTTTTTTGTTTTCCATTAAATGCTGAGATGCGCACTGGTATCTCTCCGACTCGTACTGCTGCCTCAGTTGGCGCACTAAGGACGGTGGCACACTCGAAAGCGCATCTCGCTTGCGCACCATGAACTCAACAAGACGGCAGCTCTCGGCTGCTACTTGCACCTGGTGAAATTGTGCCTTCATATATTTATGTCCAATAACAAACTTTTAAATTTTGGTACCTGCTGATTCAAATAACCCTCTTGATCACCAGCGGGGGAAAACTTCTGAAGCCACGTAGGAGGGAACAAGTTGGGAGCAAAAATCATGGCCACATTGTTGAGAGTCATTTTGTTATACATCTCCCTTTCAGCGACTTGTGCCAAAAATTCGAGCAACGCTTGCAAAACGTGTCGCTCAGCTGGAGGTAACAAAAGGCTCAAAAGCCGTAGTGCCTTTTCCTTGTCGGCAGGATTCGTAAGGGCTGAAAATTTGCACATGTAATCCATAAGACCATATATTCATAAAATCACTCTTATTATATCATACAATGACAGTGGTAAAATGAATCTAGTAGGGGAGCAGTTAGCAAGGGCTGCGGCAGCTCCCTGAGAAGCTTTTTTAGAAGAGCACCTAAGTCATGAGGGCCGAGTGCATCTAGGGCTCTGATAGCTTTTTCCTCTCTGTTTGGGCCATACAGATTGGACTGCAGAGCTGCAGCTGCCACTTCCATCCTGACCCTACTGCCAGCTACCCTCAGCAGTCCCTCCTCTTGCAGACATGACTCTCTCTCCAAAAGTTGAAGGAGCTAAAATAAAATTTTGATTGTCACAGATACAAGTTTTGTTTGCTAGCCATTTCTCCACTCACCCCCTAACTGACAGTATGTGTCTCTTTTAAAATTTATTTTTCTGTTCTTTTTATGCATAGTGTTTTTGCTGTGTATTATGACTTATATCAAATGGAGAATAAATAAATAAATATGTATCGAATATCCTCTCATTTTTGTAAACCTTTCAGAATAATAAAGAAACCAGAACAAAACCTTTTGAAAAATGAAAGGAATTTTTAAGTCTTCACAACCAGGCAGTCTACTATCTCTCTCCAGGAGGGTTGCCAAGGGAACACCAAATACAGCAGAATTAAAGCCGAGATCTGCAAAATGTAACTGTTGAAATGCTTTTTTAATGACCAAAAATCAGTAAGCCTATACCATCTTTACGTTTCTTCTTGTTGAGTTTCAACTTTAATCCAGGAGCTCCACAGAGATCAAGCAACGGGGTTACTTCTAAAAGCAAAAGTGGCCTTAGTCTCTTTCTGTCCTCTTCTCCCAAACCATCAAAGTATGTCTGGCCAAGTCGTTCTTCTACGACCTTTTCTTCCTCAGCGCTTGAAATCACAAATGACCACTTCAACCACTGAAAATTAAAGTGAAAAATTAAATATACTGATCTGATCATTGAAAGGATTTTATGTACCTCAGCTTCAATGTCCAATTTTGCTTCCTCTGAGGCTAAATGGCCCTGCGATGATGCTCTTCTGATTGGAAGGATTGAATCAAAAGCTTGACTACTTTCCTGTGTGGTCACGGACACACAAGCATCAAAATCACCACTGAAAACGCAATACAAGGGCTTGAATCAGGCAACAACAAAAATCTATGACTAAATAGTTTTTTTCTAGATATGGCAACTCTATGCTGATCAATTTTTAGCGTGTATAATATTGTTTAATATATAATTTGAGCTGCAGTTTTTTGCCAGGAGTAAGAGCAAAAAAAGAACAAAGAAAGCGGCATTCGGAAGTATCAGGCAGTCATCTAAATGAAAGCTTTCAGCATCCAGAAAAAAGAAAAATGTCCAAGCAACTTTATTACTGTTAGTTTTTCTTATTGTTTTGTATTTTGTTATTGTAAAAATTTGTGTAAAATTATCATCTTTTCTCTCAATTATATTAACTTGTATAATTTTGAATGTATAAATGATGTTATCCCGTTATGGGCAGCAATTGCCTTTGCGATAGATCAATAAACACAATTTGCAACTAATATTATATTATTTTAGAGTGACTTATTCTAAAGGGTATTTGGTACATTTGTTACTCTGTATGGAATAAGTTACTTAACTAGAACTGTAGAACTGCATATGTTCATTTGTATCAAACAAGACATTCAAGATTTATTTATTATGTTATTAAGCATTATATACCACAAATAACATACATAGAAATAACCGCTTTTTAAAATAAGTCAATTTACATCATTAATTAAACGATGAAATTCGTTCAAGTCATAGAATTTATGTTCTAGTAAAAAAGCTTTCACCATTTTCGTCATTTTCGAGGATTTTTAAAGATTTCGGTAATATATTGAAAATTCTGGAAATCATGATTTCTGGGTCTTCAACAGATTTCTTAAGCTTAACTTCTTTCACGACCAAATCATTACAGCAAAGGTTGGTCTGATTATGTCTAGTCACTCCACCGCTCCAAGAGAGCTCCTCGTATCTACGGAATCACTATATTTCCGAAATAGTTTTCGGTTTTGCAACTTTTGCACTAAGAATTTTATACTTTCGAGTATGTACAACTATGGCATAATATGGGCATAACATTATATTTGACAAATAATGTTTTACAAGTATCCAACGCTTCATTAGATCTCCTGCAGTAGGGAATGCCCGCCATGGCTCTCAACGCTCTTTTCTGTGCTTCAAATACTTTCATTAAATGGCTGGACCCCCCCCCCCCCCAATTACAATGTGATGTAACAATTTGGACAAATAATCAACAATTATAATAATAATAATTCCATACATTATGACTTTGAACGTGTGCAAAATAGATCAATTTAAGAATATTGTCTGACACCTTGGTATTATTCAGACTCCTCTCATTTTGCTAAAACCTTATTACAGTAATCATTGGGATGATTTGTATGTGCCAGTGCAAACTACTTTTCCCTTTGCCCTAAGCAACGGGTTTTTTCTCTAAATTTTAATTTTAGACCTGACATGTTCTAAAGACTACTGTTAATATTCTTGTCTAACAGAACAACAATAAAATTGAATTGAATTGAATTGAACTGCGATTTCAAGGCAAAATTATGTCCTATTTGAATAACCGACTGCCAGTTGATATTCAGATTGAGACGCGGTATAATCGGTTTGTGAAATTGTTAAAAAGGATTTTGAGTCTGTGCATAAATTTTACTCTGAACTTGAGTTAATTCTCAATCACTTAAAGAATTTTTAAATATGTATGTTTCTTTCTTTTGCTATTGTTCTATCTTTCATTTGACCCGGTTGTAAATAAGTTGAATACAACGGAAACATTACATGTAATATCACTTTTGACAAAATAAAAGCTTCTCTAGAAGAAATAAATTTTGCGCAAGATAAAAATTTGTCACGTCCAATTTATTCCATTCAAAATCAATTTAAAATTATCGCGGTCTAAGGTCACAAGGCGCCTGAGTTGAAAATTTCTCGTTGCACTCTCCTCATTAACCAGTACAAATCAAATTTAGCCATTAACTTATTCAGGCAAGCGGCCGATGCACTTGCCCCCAGCATATCAATATTAAAATCTCCAGCCAAAATTATCCTCTGCACGCGGCGCATTTTCACTGTTCCAAAAATTTGGTCCCAAATATTTCCGAATTTCTCTGAGAAAAAATTTATTTGCCCATTATTTTCTGGATTAAATGGACAATAAAGAGCTATAATTAATATCATTTGCTCCCCGAGCTCCAAAATTATTGCAGCAGTCTCAAGCCTGAACTCAAAAGAAGGAATTTCTACTTTCTCAAATCGCAAACAGTATAGCCACCGCGCCACGCAACCGCTCATTGCGCCCAAATCCGATTAGCATGTGAATTTGAACGTTTAATTTTAACAGAGTGAGACATATAGCCTCGAGCAACTTGAATCAATTGATGTTAATGAGATATATTTTGATATTTTACTAAATTATTGACTTGATGTAAAGGCAGACATATGACATTGTCTAATGCAATAAATTTTTATCTAATCAATATTTTAATTTTTAGTATAGAAGCATTTTTGGGGAGCTGCGACAACGAACGTCCGAATCGATACAACGACCGCAAAGTCAAGATACACGTGCTCCCTGGACCGGGACAGAAGCCCGGCGGCAAGACGTTGTCATCGTGCCTACAGGCAATCCAAAATATGGTTCAAACATACGCTCAGACCAGAGGCCATTTGGCCCAAACAACACAGAGCGCGGCAAGGGCCGACCATGGATGGACTTTCCTCATCCCAGAGATGTGACCGTGGCCCCCGTATTGCGCGCCCCATAATCCTTTATTGGAATGCAGGAGGCATATCCAAACCAAAATTTGCTGAACTCCACTTGTTGATAAAAAAAAAACGAAAGTGCTGATGTCTACTGTATTTCAGATGCAGGAAAGCACGCCAAAAAAGACTACCCAGGACTGAAAGACCTCTAAGCTCCAGGCTACAGCCTTCATATCCTGGAAGCAGAGAGGCCAGGCAACAGACAAATAGCCTGCGGTCTGATAGTCGGAGTCAGAGAGGACCTTGTCTCCAATTTCAAAGTGATTCGTACGATGAGCAGTCACCTTAACGACATGGTTGAGACAGCACTCCTCGAAGTCTGGATGGAGAAGACCAAAACCACCATCTACATGTTCTACAACACGCCCAACAACATGCCAATGGCTCTCGAGGACCTCCTCATCACAGACAGCACAATCGTGATCGGTGACTTAAATGCTCCGAACACAAAATGGGACTACAGGGCTACCACCCAAGTTGGACAATACGTAGAGGAGTTTGCCGCAGCTAATGCCCTCCTGACGATGATGACCGTTCCACCAACCTTACCACAAACGGGGTGAGGTCAAGACCTGATCTCGCCCTCATCCATAGCTCCCTTTCAGAACAAATCTCCCAAAGCAACTTTATCTGTGGTTCTGGACACAAAACAATTAAACTCGCTCCCACAAACTCTTTCAGAAGAAAACCTCCGAAACTGGCAAGATGGAACTTTAAAAAAGCAAACTGGCATGCCTACAAAGGACGAGTTAGAGAAACTGGCAGCCGAGCATACACCCACAGCCAACCCCCACCGTGAGGCCAAGGCGCTGGAGAAGATTATCCTTAAGGCAGCCTCTCGTCAGCACATCCCCAAGGGTATCATTAAGGACTTTCACCCTTTCTGGAATGAGGAGCTGGAGGAGTTGAGAAAGAACAAAATTGAACTTGCTAAGCTGGTAAATAAAGAAGAGGACGAAGAAGTTCGCTCCTGGATCAGAGAGAGGAACTCAAAAAGGCGGAAAAAACGCTAACTGCCAAAATTGCAGAAGCTAAGGAGGAAAACTTCCGAAATTTTGTCGCCAGCCTGGACTACAAGGACGAAGCCTTGAAAGCACACAGGCATTTCTCCCACCTCTGTGGAAAATGGAGTCAAGCTGACGACAGGAACTCTCCCCTTACTCTTGGAAACCAAACGGCAACAACACCAAAAGGCAAAGCCGATCTCTTCGTGAATAAATGGGGTGCAAGGCCGAGCACCCTACGAAAAACGGACCTGACCTATGCTAGACCTGTTCTTGAGTACTGCACTGAGATTTTCATCACAGCCTCAAGCGAAGCAATCAGCTTCCTCGATAAGGCACAAAACCAAGCCCTTAGGTTGATAAATGGCGCATACAAGACAACATCAATTGCCGCCATGGAAATCTACGCCCAGATTGAGCCAGTGCTGGAGCGAATGGAGGCCCGAGCTGTTGCACTTCACGAGAAGCTCGCTCGAATAAACTCCAGATGGCTGAGCTTCCCCAGAGCCAACAGCAAAAGCTTATAACGTGAAATGTATAATTTAGCTTCTACCAAAACCAAATAAAAACTTGAAACTTGAAACACAAACTTTGCCCAAAAAGCTACTTCCCTGAAGGCCAAATACTGCCCTGAAGTCCTTGAAATACCACGCCAACCACTTCCTCTGCCAACTGTAACACACATACAAAATCAAACTGCTTTCCTAAACCCTTCTTTGCTCCAAATAGATCTACTGGGGAAAAAAAGTGAGCAGCCGGCAGACGAGAGGCGACGCCTGACTGAGGAACACCTAGCCAGGCATTTCCCGAACAGAGACTGGGTGCACATCTACACCGACGGCTCCCTTGACAACACCTCGGGCAAGGCAGGCTATGGCCTGTACTGCTTCGCCTTCCAAGAATCTCACCCCATGCCCCCTGGGTCAAGCTGATTTGACGCCAAGAGTGCTGCAATTGCAAGAGCAGCAGAGAACATCCTGGAGCAGCCAATCTTTCCCCTCAACAAAACAAAATTAGTCATCCTGTCCGACAGCAAAGCAGCAATTCAATCAATCACTAATGTCACCAACTACCACCCCACATCCCTCATCTTCAAGAAGGCCCTAGTCAGAATGAAAAGTAAGAAGTACGAGATAAAACTACAGTGGATCCCTAGTCACACAAAAATCCACGGCAATGAGCTCGCAGATGCCCTAGCCAAAATGGGGTCTAAGAAGCCCCCTCCTGAAGCTAATGGTCTCACCCTCGACGCGGCCAAGGACAAGATTTAAACCAAGAAGAGGAAAGCAGCAGTCGAAGAAAAACATGAGCTCCAGAGCAGGCAGAAGGCCTGGAGAGAGGAGATGAAAAAGGGCCCAGACAAAAATTGGCCAAGATGTTGCCAGATTGCCACAGCCCAGCTGAGACTGGCCACCGAGCACGACGGCCTGCAGCACTACCTTAACAAGTTCAGCATAACATAAGACCCAGCAATATGTAAATTATGCAAAGCAGGTGTGCAAGACAGGGCACATATCTTTTTAACTGTGCCGTCCTTTTAAAACAAATTGACCCCCTGCACAACCTGAGCAGGACAGAAATTGAATCCCAAACTTTATTGGATTGCAAGAAGAATGCAGCTCAACACATTCGTCATAAAAAAAAAAAAAAATAGAAGCAAAAGTAGCACACCCAATGGTGGATAATATACATAATTTCATTCGTTCAGCATAAAATTATACAATAACTATTTCAAAATTTACAATTTCAAATTGTTCTTATTTAGAATATATTTTTTAATAATCAATCATTTAACTACCAAAATTATAAAAATTATACATTAAAAAATGCATATTATTTCTTTCCACTGTGAACGTTTTTAACACCTTTTAACGTTTTTGCATATCTATAGGAGAATAAATGAAATAATAATGATGTATATTGACTTATTTTAAAAAGCGGTTATTACTATGTATGTTATGTGGTATATAATGCTTAACAAAATAAACAAATCTTGATATTAACATAAGAAGATACCCTTTAACTCTCAAACTGCCGCACTCCGAAGTGGGATCACTTCCACTTCGCTTTTCCCTTGATCTGGGTTTGCTGATTGTTCCAATGTGATGGTAGCCAAGCATAAGAACTCCATCTAAATTAAAAATAAATTGATGTTATTAGATTTATAAATACATTTACAAATTACCAGTGTCTCCAGCAACTTCTCCAGTCTGCATTCCGCCAAACAGGTCAAACCTTGCAGTGGTGTCTGGAAAATCAGTCGATGCTGTGGTTGAGAAAACTCTTCTGGCTGGGGGTCTTGATGACACCATCACAGGCAGGGACATGTGCTGGGACTGGCTGGCCTGTAGGGAATGTGACGGAGGCGACGAAAACACGTCCTTGATGTGAGGGGTGTTACGTGCTGAGCGGCCAGGACGCGACCGCCGTCGAACTATTGTGTGGTTCAAACTGTCAACGCGCCGCCGCACAGCATCCACCTGGTGAGGCGGAAGACTGCTTAAGGCATCCGATAATTCAGCACCCCACAACTCTCGGCCAGCCTTCCAGGGGCCTGTTAAGTGCGCTAGACCTGCTTCCAGCAACCATGCTTCTTCTTGTTCACCTACCAAAGTAATTATTGGACATTTAGATAAGAATCAGAAATATTTTTACTTCATCAAATATTATATTTATTCGTGGTCTGGGGAGCATCACCACACATGCATGCAAAAATTTAAAAATTATTTGGCGCGCAGAAGCATGTAGTCAGAGCAATGACTAGGCTGAGGTATTGGAGAAGTAATTATGCACTTGATATATATGTTGTTGTCCGAACGCGCTGAGTTGACTGAATGCATTCGGTCTAAGAGCGCTTTGGTCCAAATGCATTCGGTCTAACACCACTTGGTCCGAATGTATTCGGTCTGGACCAAACGCAATCCACAATGGAATCTCCCACTCTCGGCGCGTTCGGTCTAACAACTTGGTCCAAAAGCAATTTTTTTAAGGGCTGCCAACTTTTGCGCTATTTTTTGTGATAAAACCGCGGAGACTACGTTCGAGCAGGTTCAGAAGGAAAAAGAGGTGCGCAGAAGAAAATGATAAAAATTTAATATTTATGAGACGGCAAGTTTATTTTTTTAATTTTCTTTAGCCTATTCAGCAACCAATTAATTAATTAATTGGTCATGTTTATTACGTTTAAACATATTTATTATTTGTTAAATTAGTTACTTTTGACTAAACGCCTTTTACGTGGAATTTTACGTTCCGAGACGCGAGATACTGAGGCTTGTAAATTTGTGCGTAATTAACCTCAATATTTTGTGAAAACGCGAGATGTGCATGCATACGAGACGCGCGAGAAGTTTGAGTTGTACGTGCCGGTCCAGACGTGTGCTATTTCGAGGCAAAATCCGCTCATTTGCTTGTCGCGCTTGTATAATAATTTGCCTGTATCCATTTTTTTTTTTTTTTTTTTTTTTTATTAAAGATATTATTCGATTGGAGTTGAGATTCCCTCAGTTTGTGGGCTTGTTAAAAAAGTTTGTTTGTTTTCACAAGTTCTATACTGAAGAGGAATATGTAAATTACAAAAATAACTTGTAAAAATCTTTAATTTCTTTTTTTCCTGCTGTATATTTCATTTGACAAAATTGTACATGGGTGGGTGGCACGGGAGATATTACATGTGATTACATTCCATAATGCAATAAAGCTGCAATAATAATAATAATAATAAAACCAGTCTAAAAAAGTTAGAAAAATTCCTGTTGTGCTAATAAAAAAATATTAATTGAGGGCGAAAATTTCCCAAAATTAACACTTTTAAAACCACCCCAACTGCAGGCACTTGTGATATCGATAAAAAAGAGCTACTCTTAGCTGGCCGAAATTCATCCCTGTTGAAGCTTTTGTCAATGGTGCCTAGCTGTACCAGGAAATCACATTTTATAAAAAAAAAAAAAAAAAAAAAAAAATAAGAATATAAATAAAAAAATTGAAAATTATTAAAAAAAAAAAAATACCTGATGAAGTTCCTAATCTGTAAAGATCTCTTTCCTGATTATGTTCTAAAACCACTGCGATAATATTTCGTGGTTTCATCACTAAGAATAGCGCAAAAGTTGGCAGCTCTTAAAAAAAATTGCTTTTGGACCAATTTGTTAGACCGAACGCGCTGAGAGTAGGAGATTTCATTGTGGATTGCGTTTGGTACAGACCAAATGCATTCGGGCCAAGCGGCGTTAGACCGAAAGCATTCAGACCAAAGCGCTCTTAGACCGAATGCATTCAGTCAACTCAGCGCGTTCTGACAACAACATATATATTCAATTCGTTTATTCTCTCACAACAGGTCAAATATTATTTTGCGGGAAAAAAGTTATATTGAAGAGAGAATATTGGCAGCCAGCCCTAGTAAACAACTTACTTAAACTCATAGGCTCAATTTGGAAGCAAAAGTGTTTCCAACTTAAGCCTACTCGCCGAGCTGGAGCCGTAAACAGGAAAAAAATTATCAAATTATCACATATATTTTACATGCAATTTTAAACTCAAGAACCGTACAATTATAACGCAGAACGAAGGGAATTCCACTGATCCGCGATTCGGAAGGAAAAACTTTGTCGACCGAGCTCTGTGCGCACTTTTGGGAGAATTAAACGGTGCTCGCCGCCACTATTTCTCATCACTCGGCCGGTGGTGATTCTCGCCTTTGCGTCCATGTCAGTCTCGCCACTGGTGCATTTCTTGAGAAACATCAAGTCATTGAACTTTAGCTGCTGCTGCACCGACAGCAACCCGTGTTCGGCCGCGTCAGGGATGTGCCACCCGTACACAAACCTGAGGGCTCTTTTTTGCACTCGCTCGAATTTGTTGATGTTGATATCGTGACAGGGGTGCCACGCGGGTATGCCGTAGAATAAGAGGGGTTTCACCATCGTCTGGTAGGCCAATTTTTTCACGCGCGGCGTGCAGCCGTGCAATTTCGCGCCGCGAACGAGAGCCTAGCACTTTTTTTTTTGCTGCTTTACCGCGCGCGATGTCCTTGTTTTTTCCACCGCAGGTCTTTTGACACTTGGACGCCGAGGAGGCGCTCTTCGCTGTTTTCTACTTTCTACTGTTCGCTTTTGCTTTCTTGAGCACATATTGTATAATATTTTTTCTTGGAGCGATTTTAGCGCAGTAAGATTCACAGAACCCCACGCTGTTATTCCATAATTTAAGCATTTAAGTATGAGTGGGCAAGCGAAAAATACATGATCATGATACGTCTCACATTGTATGGCATATTTAAATAATTGAATTCACAAATAATTTTTTGATAAAAATGTATTTTCAGCTTTTTCTGTACTTTTTCTGTATAGTTTTTTTTTTTTTTGCTGTATTCATGACATGACTGTATCGAGTGGAGAATAAATAAATAAATAAATAAATGATAAATTTTGGACATGCATTTTCCAGGTAAAATCCTGATCCACAATTACACCTAGGAATTTTGTACTTTCGACTTGTTTAAGATTGTGACATTATTATTATTAATATTATTTATTCTTCTCGGTCAATAAAAAAATTTAAATTGGAAAAAAGGGAAGAAAGGGTTTACAGCTAACAGATGTCTGCTAAAACGCCCGACATCAAAAGAGACACGGCCGCCGCGGTAAACCCACACTATCGGAAAAAAAGAACGATATCACAAACACTTTAAAATCTTCACTCTTGAATTACTGCCACAAATGCTCCTTGCAGAAGGAGGGAAAATTGCTTGAGGGACAGTTTTTAAGGGCAGATGGCCGGTCGATCCAAGGCTTAACTATCCTGAAGGAGAAAGCGCCGCGACCGAACTTGTTGTTGGCCGAGGGTGGCTGCAGGCGGGGGTCCTGTATGTCGTCACCTCTCAGCTTACGACCCATTACAATTCGGTCGCGTGCGTCAAAGTCCGTCTCGCCACTCAGGAACTTTTTGAAAAAGTAGAGATCGGTGTACCTGAGGTGCATGTAAATGGGCATAATTCTCTGCTCGATTGGCGGCGGAGGGGTGCGGCCGTAGATGAAGTGCAGTGCCCGATTCTGCACTCGATTGAGTTTGTTTACGTTCTCCTGCAACGTGGGGTGCCACGCAGGGAGACCGTAAGTCATGGTTGGCTTGACGAGCGAGAGATACGCAATTCTTTTGACGCGGGGGGTGCAGCAACGCAAGTTTCGGGCCGCAAAACCGAGAGATTGGGACACCTTGCTGCACACAATGTCCGTGTGGACCTGCCACCGGAGATCCCTCGAGATGTGGACGCTGAACATTCGCTTCTTGTCCACGAACTCGAGCACCGATTCACCGAGGTTGTGGACGAACACCAACCGATCGCGCGCTTTAGAAATTAACTAGAAAGTAACAGAGGTGTGCCGCAAGGCACAGTTCTCGGCCCAATTGGGTTTTCTATGTATTTAAATGATATTCCTCTCGCTGTGTTCTTGGCTCTCCTGATTTTGTTTGCCGATGACTCCACGGCTATAGTCAAGGGAGAGTCTTTCCCTGAGGTAAATACTAAAACGGTGGCTGTTTTGTCGGTTTTGCTAATGATAAATTTTTGAGGATAAATTCAGAAAAATCAAAAATACTACAAATACATACCAGCCAAACAAAAAATCTTGTTCAACCTGATGTTAAAATTGAAGACAAGAGTATAGAAATCTGTAAAACCGGTAAACTCTTGGGAGTACAAATAAATGATACACTTAACTGGAATGATCACTGTGATAAGGTTGTTAATAAATTGAGAGGAGTCTCTCATGTGTTTACTAGACTGAAATACAGATAACATTCTTAAATTGATCTATTTTTCACACGTTCAGAGTCATATAATGTATGGGATTGTAATTTGGGGGGGGGGGTTCTATTCATTTAATCAAAGTATTTAGAGCACAGAAAAGAGCGTTGAGAGCCATGGCGGGCATTCCCTACTTGCGATCTAATGAAGCGTTGGATACTTGTAAACCATTACTTGTCAAATTTAATATAATGACCGTGCCATCGTTGTATATACTTGAATGTATAAAATTCTTAGTGCAAAACCGAAACCTATTTCAGAAATATAGTGATACTGTAGATACGAGGAGAGTGACTAGACATAATCAGACTTATCTTTGCTGTAATGATTTGGTTGTGAAAGAAATCTGTGGAAAACCCAGAAATCATGATCCCCACAATATTTAATGCATTACCGATATCTTTAAAAGTCCTCGAAAATGACGAGGTTCTTGTAAAAATGGTGAAAGCTTTTGTATTAGAGCAAAAATTCTATGACTTGAACGAATTTTATCGTTTATATAATGCAATGTACACTGACTTATTTTAAAAAGCTGTTATTACTATGTATGTTATGTGGTATATATAATGCTTAACATAATAAAGAAATCTTGAATCTTGAATGTGCAACTGTGTGCATTCTTCTGATAGAAACAATATTGCGACGCGAGATATTGCCCTTAACTTGATTACCTTCCTCCCAAGTTTGAGAGCTGTCCTGCAGACTGAGCGGTTCGTCAGCAGAGTCAGGTGGTCGCAGTGCATATTCCACCCAGTAGTCCCTCAGGTCCTCCATTTTTCACCACGTCTGTAGACACAAAAATAATATTCTTGAATGAGCAAAGAGAACTGAAATGCTAACAAGTATTGTTAAATCGACCCCTACGAGCTGATAAAGCGGCGTTATCACCTCTTGAGGTAGACAGTATGTTATTAAACTCGTTGGCACGCCCTGCGAGCGATAAGCAAACTGCGATAAGCAAACTGCTGTTGCTTAAATTGCGCAAAGTACTATTATTGCTTATTCCGCAAAAACACAATCTCTTCATTCCATTTTTGAGGACACATATATTAATATCTCCTCAATCCTATCATGCACCTCTTAATGAAAAAAGTGAAATTTTTATGGGCATTCTAGTAAAATATTTTGGAAACTCTTTCCCCCTAAAACGAGTTATTTTTATTATCATTGTTTATTCTTCACAAAGTAGTCATACATGAAATCAGGAATAATCAGGGCCAATCAAATCGGTAAAATTAAATTGACAGATAATACGTGGAAATTACAAACCAAAAGTATTAATTTAAGTAAAGAAATAAAATCAAATTTAGATCACTATGTTAAGTCCGAACTGAAGCAAAAACTGAAACGCATTAAGAAGGAAGATGATAATAAAATACAAATAGAATTAAAGCAAGTAAATGACAGAAAAATAGCAATATCAAAAAATAAATCTAGTGCAGGGTGGAAACTTATAAATACAAAATTAGGAAAAAGTAAAAATACAGAGTATATTGACAAATTAAATATAGACGGTGCTAAAGAATCAATTAAACTTAATATCGCCTGAACAATGTAATGTTGAACCGGTGCCTGACCTAAATAATATAAATTTTAATTTAAATGGAATTTTGAAGTTATTCCCGTCAAATAAATCATCTAGCTGGGATGGATTATCTATGGATACGTTGAAAAAGATTTCTGGTTATATAGTGTTCCCTGTGGCATTTATGGTGAATGAGTCGTTTCGCACTGGTAAATTTCCGGAAGTGCTAAAATTAACTGTAATCAAGCCATTGTACAAAAAGAAGGGTGAGAAATCCGATGCTAGTAGTTATCGCCCAATAGCCTTAACATCTTCTGTAGCAAAAGTATTTGAGAAATGTTTCCTAAATAGAATTGAAAGCTATTTCGCTGAAAACAATCTCCTTGCTGACGAGCAGCACGGTTTTCGAAAAGGCAGGAGCACAGTGACTGCACTTTTTAAGTTAGTGTCCGAAATCTACGATTCGTTGGAAAATAGAGAAAAAATCAATGTGATTCTGTATGACTTTTCTAATGCCTTTGGGTGTGTCGTTCCCGAAATACTGCTTGCAAAACTGAAAAAATTTGGAATTGATGATGTATCCCTCCTTTGGTTAAAGTCCTTTCTTACTGATAGAAAACAACTTGTTCAACTTTTTGGTGTGGGTGAAAATGGCGAGCAAAAATTATTTGAGTCAACAATGGAAAATGTTTCGATTGGCGTACCACAAGGAACAGTATTGGGCCCTTTTGGCTATTCCTCCTACGGTAATGATATGCCCTTAAAAATCATTGTCGCCGCTCTTATCTTGTTCGCAGATGATTCATCTTTTATTGTAAAGGCTAGAAACTACAAAGCCTTGAACGAAAAAACTGCTGTGGCTAATGACAAAATGATTGACTTTGCCAGTAATAACCGCTTAAGATTGAACGAAAAGAAAACTCAGGTGCTCCAAATGCATACTGCTCAAACTAGTAAATTGGAACCGCCTGTAATCAGAATTAACGACGCTGAAATAGAAGTGGTAAATCAAGCAAAAATACTTGGTGTAATGCTCTCTGATACAATGAACTGGAGCACCCAATGCGATCAGGTTGTAGTGAAACTGAGAAGTACCACGTACCTTTTTGTTAAATTAAAAGGCAGCGCATTCAAACTAAATTGCTAAGAGATGTATATTTCGCCCATGTTCAAAGTCACTTACTATACTCAATTGTAATTTGGGTGGGTCGCTTATGTTGGAAAAGGTTTTCATTGCTCAAAAGAGAGTTATCCGTGCGATGGCAGGTAAAAGATACTGGAAGGCATTGACACCTGTCGAGTCTTGCCGACCACTTTTTAAGGAATTTCAGATCCTGCCAGCCTTCAGTGCTTACGCCCCTGAATGTGTTAAATTTTACAAGAAGTACCCCGAATTGTTTCTCAAAAATTCGGAGAGCGAGGTGCACCAGAATCGCAGTACTCGAAATAAACCTATAGCGGAGCAAGACTTATTTGTCAAACCAAACAGACTGTTGCTGACTGCGCAGTCCCCTCACATCATGATCCCTAGAATTTTCAATTGAAATTTCTACTTTTTGGTCATGGATATTTACCTCAGGTTGGATTAGGTTTCTAATTGAAATTTTTCTTAAGACACTAGTTGAAATCCCGTCCGACCCAGATGAACATTTTTGTCGAAGTTGATTTATTATACTATAAATCTATCTCAAATTCTTCCATAAACTGCAGGCTTTGAGCCGTAATATTGATATCATCTATCAGTTTGGAACAGTCATCTAAATTTATATTACTTGTATCTGGCTCCAATTCAACAAGCTTGTTATTCAGATGATGGTTGGCAATATTAAGTTTAATTGGTAATGTTATAGTACGCGCGACGTGTTTTTTCATAAGTTGGCAACATTTGTGCTCCCATGTAAAAGTATCACGTCGCGCGTTCGATAGTGGTTTTACGTCGCGCATACAATACTGGTGGCGGTGAAATTGTTAAGGAAACCGATTATTCCATCGATACCTCGGCAACGTGTATAGCACGCGCGACGCAATTCTTTTCCTACAATCTTAATTAAGGGGACTGCTAGGAAGAATAGGGGCCCTTGGGATGGGTTCAGAATGGGGCAAGACGACCTCTGGAGGGCCGTGCGCACCCTTATAGCAGGCGCGACGTATCACTATGGGACACGCGACGGTCGAAAAGCGAACTCCGTAGGGCGCTTTTCACCATCGTCAGAGGCGCGACGCATGGTTATAGGACGCGTGACGCATGCTTATAGTACGCGCGACGCACGGCAAATTAATTAAAAGGTGTTGCACGCGGCCGGAGTTGTGGGCACCCCACGAACCGGCAACTCGGAGGTGGGCAACCCCCAAGATTAATTTTTGCAGAAGCCGCGAGCGAGGGGTGGAGGCGCAGCGAGGTCGAGGACGTGGGGAAGGCCGTGCGGAGGGCGAGGACAAAAGGGCGGCTGTGTTCGTGGGGGGGCTCCGCAGGAGCCCCCTCACGATCCCCGCCCTTTTGTCCCGCCCGGAGCCGGCCTTCACCACGTTCTCGGGCGAGCGCGCCTCCAGCCCGAAGCTCGCAAACCCACAACGGAGTTGCCCACAAAAGGTGTTGTCTGCAAAAAGGGCTTAGAAAGCAAAAAGTGTGATGCCCACAACTCCCTTTGCAGACAACACCTTTTGTGGGCAACTCCGTTGTGGGTTTGCGAGCTTCGGGCTGGAGGCGCGCTCGCCCGAGAACGTGGTGAAGGCCGGCTCCGGGCGGGACAAAAGGGCGGGGTTCGTGAGGGGGCTCCTGCGGAGCCCCCTCATGAATACAGCCGCCCTTTTGTCCTCGCCCTCCGCACGGCCTTCCCCACGTCCTCGACCTCGCTGCGCCTCCACCCCTCGCTCGCGGCTTCTGCAAAAATTAATCTTGGGGGTTGCCCACCTCCGAGTTGCCGGTTCGTGGGGTGCCCACAACTCCGGCCACGTGCAACACCTTTTATAATAATTAATTAGTCGTGCGTCGCGCGTACTATAAGCATGCGTCGCGCGTACTATAAGCATGCGTCGCGCGTACTATAAGCATGCGTCGCGCGTACTATAAGCATGCGTCGCGCGTACTATAACCATGCGTCGCGCGTACTATAACCATGCGTCGCGTCTCTTACGATGGTGAAAAGCGCCCTCCGGAGTTCGCTTTGCCCCTCACTGGATTTACGGCCCGTCGCGCGTGCTATAAGGGTGCGCACGGCCCTCCGGAGGTCGTCTTGCCCCATTCTGAACCCATCCCAAGGGCCCCTATTCTTCCTAGCAGTCCCCTTAATTAAGATTGTAGGAAAAGAATTGCGTCGCGCGTGCTATATACATGTTGCCGAGGTATCGATGGAATAATCGGTTTCCTTAACAATTTCACCGCCACCAGTATTGAGCGCGCGACGTAAAACCATTATTGTATGCGCGACGTAAAACCACTATTAAACGCGCGACGTAATGCAAGTGATGCCAACTGAAATCAGGGATTTTGGGAAACACGTCGCGCGTACTATAACATTACCGTTTAATTGACTCACTGGCACCATCAATATTCAAGTGATCAATTAAATATTAAATTTACATTTTTTTCTTTTACCAGTTTGTGAATTAATAAGTTTCCATGCTGCACTAGATTTATTTTTGGCCTTTGATATTTTACTGTCATTTCTTAATAGTTTCTTTTTGAACATTATCAATAATATAATGCTTAACAAAATAAACAAATCTTGAAAGTATCGGTCCCGTCAAACACTCTAGTGGAGATGTTTTATGAAGGGCGCGCTTGGACAAGAGGCCTTTTTTCTACTGAAAACTTTTTGTTAACAACATATTATAAACTTTTGTTTTTTTTAATACGTCAATATATGCTGGGGCCAGTGGGGCCTATTGATACAATTAATTCTAATGAAATCCCTTAATAACGTTTAAAGTAACCTGGACTTTTAATATAATCTGATAAATACATTGATTTAACATTTAACTTAAATTATTAATTAGGTCCATAGATAAATATCTTACCTACTGTCTTTAGTGTCGGTTGCTTCTGAACTGGACACACTGGACGGCGAATGGAAATTTAAGGTTGACGTTCTTGGCTGCCAGGAAAGAATATTTCTACTTATATAAAACTTGGTTGGTGTTGGTACATTAAAGATTTTAAAGGTAATGAATTTATGTACATAAATTGCCAACTGCCCCGTCTACACTGAGCTCGGTTGCTGCACTGAGTGTGGGTGCGAGTGCTCTCTTTTAATCGAGAAATTCGAGAAACAACTAAAGCAACTAAACTAGTTAAACGACTCAAGGAATAAAGCAGCAAACAGCTGCTGATTTTTTCAAGGAGGTTCCTGCAAACTGTTGTGATTGGTCTTGATGCCACGTGGGTTGCAAGAAGCAGATCCTTGGCAAGAAGTGGTCAACCTCCTTGTGGTCAACAAGTTGCTCCAACGGCTCCAACAAAGTTGCTCCGTAGGAGGTTGCATCCAAGGATCATTCATTTTTAAATAAATGAATACAACCAAAAGATCCAACGTTGCAGTTGGTTGCATCCGTGCACTCCGAGGAGTTTGGGGACTTTGGGGTTTGGTTCCAAACTCCTTGATCTGCCTTGCTCCGTCTTTACCCCTCTCCTCCCCCCCCCCCCGAATGAGATAAAAAACGCCTTTATTAAGCTTAGTGCTTAAGTTGATGAGGACATTTTGATTTGATAAATCAAGAGAAAACCATTGAGCCTGTTCTTTTGTTGACATTACACATTGCCTCTTACTTTTTCGTACTTTTATTAAAAATTTGTGTGGAGTTGATAAACTTTTGTCAAATTTTCGTCGCTTTTTTATAGTCACGGGAGAATGGCTGCAAACGAAGACAACTCGTGGAGAACTCCTGCTTTCCGGCAGAGCGTCGTTACCAAAATGTACCAAATATATATTCAAGTTTACATTTTAAAGACGTAAGAACTAATTTCTTATACATTACAGTGAGGAAGCAATCCGAAATTCAGGAATGCCGACCTCTAGGAATAGCATGGAGATGGAGAGTCACGTTTTCCAAAAAGCAAAAAATAAAGTGTGACAAATAACATTTTCTTATATTTTTTTCATCAATTTGTACATATTACTATATTGCAGGAGGAATATCTGGGGTTTGTTGCTCGACTGATTCTACATGTACGAGAATTAAGTGAGTAATGAATTTTTTAATTTAATTTTTGTTAATTGTTATATACATTGGATTTTTTTATTCTGTCTTGCTTTTGGTGAACAGACGCAAAAAAAGGGACTGGTACTGGTGGTGCTCCCATCCAGGGTGTTGGTCAAGGTATTCCAGACCCAATTAATGCCCTGCAGACTCTCGCTCGGCAGGGTGAGTACTAACACTCCTCCGACCTGCCTAACAACACCCTATTTGCCTACCCTGCATGTCAACCAACCACAAAAAAAGGAAGCTTTCAACGTACCCAGTTTTGATTTGTTAATAAAATTTTAGTAATCTTTTGAGATTTAAATTTTTGAAGTTTCCTTTTTTAATGAAGTTCTATTAAGAATAAAGAATAATCTTGTTATGGACATTTCAGGAGCAAATCCACACATGGTGACCGGAATGTCTGCTGGCCCTGGAACTCAAATGCAGCAAATGCAAGGTCAGGTTACTCAGCAAGGACAGCAAATTGCCCCTGGCATGATGATGGGCCAAATGATGGGCCAACAGGCCCAGCCGGGTGTGATGCCAGGACAACCGCAACCGAACCTACAGCAGGGCCAGATGAGCCCAGCAAGTGAGTTTGTTTATCTATTGTGTTGGTAAGAAGCCATTCGTTCTGGACAAGATCGTTTTCCCATCAGAAGTTTAGGCTGCAGTTTAGCGAGTGGTCTGGCTGGTATTTAACACCTCTTGTTAAATACTCTGTTTATTCCATCTTTTAGAAAAAAATATATGCATCTTGTCCCAAATAGCTTCTTATTATCTACATTTGTAATTGAACATAAATAACAGAATGCACAAATTTTCAAACCGTAGTGCAACAGTTTGTTCCTCGACCTGGTGGCCAGCCAATGCAGGGTATGCCAAATAGGATGCCTCCAAGCATGGGAATACACATTTCGCAGATGGTGAGTTGATTTTTCCAGCAGAACCCTGCTAGGCCGTGTCTCTTTTGATGTCGGGCGTTTTAGCAGACATCTGCTAGTTGTAAACCCTTTCTTCTCTTTTTTTCTCCAATTTTTAAATATTTTTGTACAGACCGAGAAGAATAAATAATAATAATAGGTTTGATTTACATTTAAAAACTTAATTCCTTATAGATCAACCAACGTACTAAATCAAATCTATGAATAGATTCAAGAATTTATTATTTTATTAGATTCATATCCAAATATCATATAATTATTCTGCATAGATCAACTTATATGCAGAATTAATCTTTGGAATAGGTCACTAAAATAAACAAAATTTTAAACAAGAGCTATTCGTGCACATCAAAGAAAATTTCTGTCATAGAATATCAATTCTGATTCCTTCTTCAACACTTAATAACCACTTATGTTTTTAATACGTTTGGGAAGATGATTGAAAATTAGTGCAAATCAAAATTGGAGGGGCTGAGCATTCGGCATCAGTCTCATTGGTTGCAAGTCTTGCGCAGCTACAGGTTTATTTTAAGTACTGCAATTCTGGTGCTTCTTGCTTTCAGAATTTTTGAGTAACAATTAGGGATACTTCTTGATAAAATTTTTGCTCGCCATTTTCACTTCAACCAAAAAGAGGTGATTTCTTCAATTAATTTATTTTCTTGCAACAAGTCAAACAAGAAATGGAAGAGTCACATTGGGAGAGAATTCAAGTCAAGTCTAGACATATTTATTCCGCATTAGATCAAAATACTTACAGCGACCTTTAGAATAAGTCGGTACCTTAACATATAATACTAATCAAGCTTACCCAGCAGATAGCAAATACTCATGCATGTCAGAAAACATATTGTCAGCTCTAGTAAACAACTTCCTAAACCTTATTGACCAAATTTTGGAGCAAAAGTGTTTCCAAATTAAACCTACTCGCCGAGCTGGAGCCGAAAAGAGGAAAATATTAAATAAATGTCACATATTTTGTACATGCAATTTTTAACTCAGGAACCGTACAATTTTGTAACTCAGCTGGCAGGGAATTCCACTGTTTTGCGGTTCAAAAAGAAAAACTTTGTCCCCGGAGCTCTGTGCGCACTTTTGGGGGAATTAAGCGGTGCTCGCCGCCACTATTTCTCATTACTCGGCCGATGCCGGTGGTGATACTTTCCTTTGCGTCCATGTCATTCTCGTCACTGATGCATTTGTTGAAAAACATTAAGTCATTGAACTTGAGCTGCTTCTGCACTGACTGCAGCTCATGTTCGGCCGCGTCAGGGATGTGCCTGAACCACCACTAACAAGAATTTTCTTTTAACTTCCCAGATCCAAAAGACACAATCTGCTGCAGTCTTATTTGCCAATAGGCAGTTATTTGACAAAAACAACAAATATCACAAGTTACCAAGCTCACTAAATTGCGTTGAGATAATGATTGCTAGAATATATAACAAATTACTTTACGTATTGAAAGAAATATCTGACTATGGCAAACTTCGTTAAAAGTGTCAAATATGTAATGCTGGAATATCAATTCTATGATATGAACGAATATTGGAGATGTAATTTTGAGTTCTAGAATTAACAGAGTGCACCAGAATCGCAGTACTCGAAATAAACCTATAGCGGAGCAAGACTTATTTGTCAAACCAAACAGACTGTTGCTGACTGCGCAGTCCCCTCACATCATGATCCCTAGAATTTTCAATCATCTTCCCGATAGAATCAAAAGCATTGATAGTTATCAAGTGTTTAAGAAGGAATTGGAATTAATATTCTACGACAAAATGTTCTATGACGTGCATGAATATTTTTTGTGTAAAATTGTGTGAACTGTATTTAAATGTATTTTAAATTTAGTAAGCTGTATTATAGTTATATTGAGATATAGCTGTATTACAGTGACCTATTCCAAAGATTATTTCTGTACATATGTTGATCTATACGGAATAAATATTATCTGAATCTGAATCTGAAGCTAAGCTACAGGGTTTTCGGGGGTGGTTTTCCCCTGTAATAAGCAAGGAGGGTTAGTCAAATGGTTGCCCACCCCGGCCAAAATATCACTGATGTGCGAGCTCTCTCAATCACTGAATGTTATATTTGAAATATTTTAATGTTTTTTTTTATTGCTATTTTACTGACTAGTTGTAAAGACAAATTGGAGATATATTTATGTCTAATGCAATAAATATTGAATAATCTAATGTACTTTTCAAACAATTAAACCTGGAGTGTCAAAATAATTGTGCACAGTAAAAATTTAAATATATAAGATCTGGATCAGATCAAAATTGATTACACTTGCCATTTTCCTCCAAAGTTGCCTTTTACATCAAGTCATCAAATAATTTGATTGAAGAAGTTTTCACTCAAGGAGATGATCATGGAAATGAAGAGATCAGACTTTTTCCTCGTTGCAGAAAATTATTATTTTTTTTTAATTTAAAAAAAGACTTCCAGTTTTGGTAATGATCCGTTTTTTAATAAAAAAAAAAATCTGCAACAAGGAAATAGCCCGATCGCTTCATTTCCATTAATATAGTACTACTATTAAAAAATTTCATATAATTTACCTTCGTGGCCGAGTCTCTTTTGATATCGGGCATTTTAGCAGATATCTGCTAGTTGTAAACCCTTTCTTCTGTTTTTCAAATTTTTGTATCGACTGAGAGGAATGAATAATTATTATTTTTGTTTTTAATTTCTTAAATAATTATAAAATCTCATTTATAAGTGATTGAAGGTGTTCACACGCTTTAAATCACATGGGCAAATAACTTTTGCAATGCATCATTAAACTCAATCATGCACAAACCCTGAAGAAGTATGACCCAAAACTATTATAATTATTATTATTTATTCTTCTCGGTCTGTGCAAAATTTTTTTTAAATTGGAGAAAAAAAAGAGAAGAGAGGGTTTACAACTAGCAGATGTCTGCTAAAACGCCCGACATCAAAAGAGACACGGCCGCCGCGGTAAACCCACAAAAACGTCAAGATAAACGTCTAAGTAAAAAATGTTAAAAATTATTTTGTACTTGAATGCATTGAATTTACAAATCAACTTAAATATTGTTGTCAGGGTGGCTATCAAGTGCAGTCCCAGTCTCCTCAGCAAATTCCAAACCAATTGGCTCAGCAGATGGCTCAATTACAGCAACAGCAAGCCCAGCACAGAAAAGTACTGAGAAATCCTTATAATATATACTGACGTAGATGAATATGCATCTGTAACATTTCAGCAAGCAGAAATGGCTATGGCAGTTGGACCGAGCAATCAACCTCCCTTTGGACCTCGAGCTGCTACCCCTAACCAAGGATTTCTTGGCCAAAGTCCCAACCCTTCTGCCAATCAAGCCTCAGTTCCCTCACCGGCTGGAACAATTGGTTCAAGCTTACAACCAGGGTATTAAAGACACACATACAGGAACACTTACAAGGTCACTTTTAGCCAAATTTTGACCGAAGTCAAATTTAGCTGAAAGTGACCTTGAACGTTTCCTACACGCTTGATCAATACTGAAAAGTTGTCTGGCGTCGCAAAATTAGTTTATAGAGGTTTCCTAGAAGTTAATGTTGCCAGTAGAAAAATTGAAAATTCAATTTTTGAATTTTTCAAAGAAAAAAATCGTAGAAAATTCTTAAAAAATTTTAGAGAATTTTTTCAGGGTCCAAGGTTAGGTTGCAAAGTCTTGTCAGCCAGTGCCTGTTATTAGTGGCACCGCCCAATTTATTTTATTATATACAGTATTATTATTATGGGCAAGAAGTTTTAGGTAATATATATTTTGCACTTTTAACAAAGCTGTCGTAGTCTATGTCCCTTGCAATCAGTACATTAAGCAAAATATTTTATGCTCCTACATTTATTACCCTGGACTTAATTCATTTAAACAATTAAGTGAGCTTGGCCCTACAAACTGATCTTGAAAAATTCAGTATACACACTAAATACACTGCACTGGCCCCTAGTGGTCCTTCAGCCAAAAATATATATTTTCCTTTTTCTGATCTGGAAGAAAAGTAATTGAGGTGTTTTATTTTATATAAATAAACAGGCAGTTAGCTGGTTCACCTGCCATGGTTGCATCACCAAGTCCACAAATAGGAACCCCAATGGGAGGCCCTCCAGGAAGTGTTGGACCATCAAGACCAATGAGTGCGGACATCTCTTGTTTTATGCCGTTTACTGTAACTATTATTGATTATTTTTTATAGGTATGGTGGCGTCACCTTCAAGTTCATTAAACACCCCTGCAGTTGCCAACTTAAGTCCTTGCTCGTCGCAGGAAGAGCAAGTATATCGTGAAAAAGTGCGCCAGCTTAGCAAATACATTGAACCTCTGCGTAAAATGATAGCCAAGATCGGGGATGAAGATGCTGAACGACATAAGAAAATGAAAAATTTGCTAGAACTTCTGTCTAATCCGACCAAAAGAATGCCATTGGAAACTCTACTCAAGTGTGAGAAAGTATTAGAAAAGCTTGATTTCAAAAGAGTAAAGTTGTCACATATTTTAATTTTTTAAAACTGAGCCATTTGTTTTTAGGGAGAAGTTGGAGGTTCGGTGCCAACAGCTCCTCATTTGGCAGCATTGAGAGAGCAGCATTTATACAATCCACTACTAGAAGCAGTTGGTACACAATTAAACAGCCCTGTGATCAATCACACACTGCAAAGAACTTTTGAGCCTACATTAGAAGCTCTTTTGGGCACAGAAATTAAGTACTTTTGCTATTTTTATTTTTATAAAAACAAATATTCAAACACTTAATATGCAGACTGATGCCTCCACCACCAAAGCGGAGAGCACTGGAGCCGATAGATGATATTCCTGAGGTTTTACAGGGAGAAATCGCACGTTTAGATCAGAGATTTAAAGTATTATAAATTAATTATTATTGTTGTTCATTCTACTTCTATTTAATTTTTTTTCTTTGAGAATATGAAACTGATCATAATTTAATCACAACTTGCAGGAGTCTGCTAAAACTTTTGACGTCAAACATCAAATTAGTTAACAGTTTCCAATAAACCCATTTAAATTTTACATTAGGTTAGCCAGAATCCTAACCAACACCCTGGCTCTCAAGCAATCCACCTCATTTGCTGGCTGGATGACAGATTTTTACCCTGTGTTCCTCCCATCTGCTTGACTGTCCCCGAGGACTATCCTGCCAGTCCCCCTAAATGCGATTTAGCTGCAGATGAATATGGTAACATTAATTTAAGTTTTGTTTCTCTTAAAACTATTTCTCTCTTAAATGAAGCCTCAACCCCTTTTTTGACTTCTGTGGAAAAAGCTCTTGCTGCAAGGATTCACAAGCTGCCGGGATTATATTCTGTATCCCAATTACTGGACACCTGGGAAATGGCTGTTCGCCAAGCATCATCACCTGCGCAGAATAACTCTATTTCCAGCATAACTGTCCTCGTGGGAATGTAAATTTTTAATGAGCTAACAGGCTTAGATTATAAAATTAAATTAGTTTAGCATTTAATCATTATATATATAATTTATATCTTATATCATGTGTCAGTGTTATAATGAAAATAAATAATCTTGAATCATGGTTTATTTAACAAGTTTTTTAATTTTTATTCCAAGCTATTTTTCTTTCGTGCGTTAAGCATCAATTGCATTTTTTTATTTGCACAGTGACGCACTTTGTGATTGTGTAGCTCTTTTTGAAATTGAAATCCTTTTGGACACTCATCACATGGAAAATTATAATTTATCAAGTGATTTGACACATGCTTGCAATAATCAGTCTGTTTGAGAAATTTAGCACTGCAAACTTCACACGTGAATTTTGAATAGGCTTTGGAATGGAGACGCCTATGAAGGGCAAGATTAGAGTTTCTCACAAACCGCTTATCACACTGGTCACATTTGTACCTGATGTTGCTGCCTATAGGCTCAGAAGAAATTTCAAAATTTAGTTTTAATTGATTCAGTTTGAGCCCACGCTCTAAATTTTGGGCTGTGTCATGCTTTTGGAGGTGCTGTTGAAAGAAGGCAAGACGTCTGAACGAAGCGCAGCAAATTTTGCAAGTGAATGGGCTCTTTGCCCGCTGCATATTTTGCAAGTGAGTCAGGATATGAGCCTTGAATTTCCTCTTCGACTTCAATGTTTTTTGGCAATAATCACAAGTTCTATTTACTTTCACAAAACAACTGTGATAATGGTACAACCTTGAAGTCCCAAACACCAGCCCACACTTGTGGCACAGCCGGTCAAAATCAGCCAGACAGTTGTGATTGTTCATCTCTCTGTACAGCCCTCCACACTCAGCGCATTGCACTATGTTATTGACCACCTCGCTTGTATCAAAATCAGAAGTCGAGCACAAATGGTTTGTAAAATTTTGTTTTGTCACAAATATGATCCCACATTTTTCACACTGCTGCTCAAAATCGGCCAAACATATGTGACCTTTCAAATTCACAAAAACAGTTCCGCACATCTCACACTGCTGATCCACAAGTAATGCAGCGTCTTCCTCATTGTTTTCATGATTTTCAACTTCAATTGATTTTACAGCAACAAGAGAATTTTTACTATGTGAGCTTGATGGTAGAAAATAATTGTGCTCTATGAATTTTTCAAATTTCCCTTCCTCCACTGTGGTCAGAAGATTTACAAAGTTATCTTCAAAATGGCCCAAAGACGTGAAGTAATTGTGATCTAGTAATTCCTGATGGGCAACGTTCGAGATTACTTGATTTTCATAAAAGTAGTCATGGTCTCGGTTCACTCTCTGCTTCTTGGTCATCTCCTGTCCAAGAAGCTCCCTAATGGACGGATCAATCGACATGTAGTCATGGTCCTGGATAAAATAATCAGTGTCCACCGTGTCTTCAAACAATTTCAAAATTTCATTGTTGTAATTATTGCTGGATGGTACTGCAGGCTGTAGGATGCACTCTTCATATTCACGCACTTCAACTTCCTCCTCCTCTGTGGCATCTGCTGACAAAACTGGGATGGAACTTGTCTCTATTGGTGCCTTCAGATATCTGGTGAATTTTCTTTTCAAAGAGGCTGGACGCTGGGGTCTGTTAATGCTGACATAGCATCTGCCTTTTTCCACTGATGATAGTTTCATTTGCAGATATTGAGTGACGCTGAGGCAATTGGCATGAAACTCCTTGAAATCCTCCACCCTGTTCAGGCAGAATGAACAAATGGTCTTTGGCAGGGGGTCGATCTCGGAAACATTGATGCACAATAGCTTCTTAATGCTCTTGGCCAGACCACGTATTCGGCACTCCTCGCCAAAAATGTCAAAGCGTTTAGTTGTTATTTGGGAGCACAAGCGGCACAGTTCGTTGTAAGGCACAGATTTGTAACCTTTTGACATCTTGGACAACAGAGATGTAGATATCCAAAAAGTATGTGTATCTGTAAAATAAAAATTTTAGCTTTCTCAATAGTACAATAATGGACGAGAAAAAACCCTAAAATAGTATAAATAATGGGTACATACGGGTTCAAGACGTAAAGTACTTTTCGTGCAGTTTTTAAAATCTGTTTGTTGGCGGATCGGTCGGCTCACCGCAGCAGTTTTTGCGTTTGCTTTGCGTCGAGTCGGGTGGGTCGCCTGCAAGAAGTATAAAATGGGAGGAGAGCGGTCTCGGCCGCTTCACAGCGGGGAGCCGTCGATTTTATGGGTACAACACTTTCCTTAGTACGACCGGCTCACCGCTTGGGTCGCATGGTCGTTATGAGTCTCAAACCAGCGGCAAAGCCCATATGCTGCATGTAAAATGTGATGACTTTTACCTTAAAATTGTATAAAAAATAGTTTTAAATTTAATATTGAGTTGCAAAAAAAATACATGTAATAGAAAAATAATTTCTACATGCTGTAAGCATCATTTGAATAAAATTTTTGCAGTTCAAGCTTCAAAAAAAATTTAGTTGAAAGTAACCTGATTGTGCAAATGAAAAGTATTCAAAACTTATGATCAAATTCATCAAATTATTTGACAGATTTCTTTTTTATAGAAGGAATATAATAAATTATACGTAGCTGAAATTGAGTGACTAATTAATAAAAAAAAATATGTTATACTTTTCCACCAGACCAGTTTTTTTAATAATAGATTAACGCATTATCCCGAGTTTGACCATTTTATCAAGTACGTGTTATAGAACGTGATCGTCCTATAGTTATAATTAACTGTTTTTGTTTTCAACGTTTTTAAATATTAATACAAATAATTATAATATTAATATTAAAACACTCCAGAAACCTGTCTTTATCAATGCTTAGGGTCAAGAATTATATATATTTTGAGATTTGAGAGCAAATTTTCAATATAAAAAATTTGACTCACACAAAACCTCAAACGGTCTCAGGCGACCTCGGACGGTCTCGAACGACCTCGGACTGTCTCAATATATTATTTATGGTTATGATCAGAAAACGCAATTAAAATTTTTATTTTTAAGCTTTTTTATAGCCATTGGTACTTTTTAATTAGACGAAAATTATTTATGCATTTGCGATAATAATAAGGGATAAACAATTAAAAAAAAAGAATGCATAAAATATATTTTTAACTCTAGCTAATTTATTTTTAATAATAATCTTCTAAAAAAAACTTTGACCCGATTAATTTCTGTGTGGCCTTATTTATACAGTGATTTAAAGTTGCTCGATCCGCTTATTTAACATAAGTTTTCCAATGAAATTGATTTTTTTTTTTTAGGAAATTATACGTTACATAAATATAACACCTGCATGCGCATTGAAAATAAAATTTAAATTATAATTTTTCTCACAAAAAAAGATTAAACTTAATCATTCTATAAATAAGGCCACAAAAAATTATTCGGGGTCAGCAAGTTTTTTTTAAAAAGATTATTATATTTAACAAAAATTAAAAATAAAGGTGGAATTCAATTTGAGTTAAAAATATAGTCTATGCATTCACAAATGCATAAATAATTTTCGTCTAATTAAAAAGTACCAAAGGCTATTAAAAAGCTTAAAAATTTTAATTGCGTTTTCTGATCAAACCTATAATTTTTATTTTAAGTTAGTCACTTTTAAAAGAATTAAGACTATTGTTTCTTCTTCGACGAATGATAAAAAAAAATGGAAAAATGCATAAAAACGACATGACGGCAACACCTCTGGCTTTGGCAAGCAGGTTGCTATGCGTGGGCCTTGATATGGGTTGCAATTGTGAATAAAAAATTCACAATTTTATTGAGATTTGAGAATACCTCACGATTAAAATTTATTGCAATGATTGGAGAATATATTTAATTAACATAATGAACTGCTTTGTCGATTCAAAAATTATTTTGATAAGTTTTTCCCCCTATTTACCGTTCCGCGGATATATATATACAGATTGATTATAATGAGACACAACTTATTAATCTTGAAATAAATAATATTAGCGGCATATTTATGAAAAAGGGTATGCCAAATGCTTCTTTAATCAATTGAGCCAAACTTATTTAAATTTCGAGGTGCGTTACAAAATATAAATGAACTATTTAATAAAAATTATGTGAAATCCGTAATGCTCCCATAAGCCAGCCTGCATGTGAAAGGCAATTCCAGCCTCATAACCACTTGCGCGCCATTGCGGATTTCCTGGTAAGTAAAAGATGGTGTGGTACCCATAATGCAGAGGTGGGCGTTGCCACTTTTTTCTCCTTCAATTTTATACTTCTTGGTCGCCTGATGCCATCCAGATCCAGAGCTCAGATTTCAGATCAACTGCGCATGCCTGTGAAGTCTGAAAGTCCTGCACCTGCTGAATTGGAATGCATGTGTTTGTTTATTCAAAAGATTGTGAGGGAACCCAAAATTGCGTTCGTTAAATCCAGTTAAATCCCCGGCCTCCTCTCCCCTCCCGGCGTTCACCTCCAGCAGTGAGCACTTGAGCAGGCTAAAAAAGTTGCTAAAAAAGCATAGAGAGAGTCCACAAGGAGACGATGGCCTCCCCTCCACTTTTGTTGGTGCTGCTGAATTACTTGGGAAAGATAGGACGCGACCGCAGCGCCGCTATGGTGGAATTTTGCTCGAAGCTCGAAATCGACCAATCACCGTGCGTAGCAGCAGCACCAACGAAAGTGGAGTCCCCGTCATCGTCTCTCTATGGACTCTTTATAAAGGCTGCTAGAGAGAGGGGGAGACGAATGCTACGCCCCTTTTTTTGGCTGGCAACACAAGTACAAAAAAACATGTGTTCGTAAACTAGCAATTCGTGACGTTGTGGCGCTGCGGAAGGGGGCAAACTTCCAGCAACTACCTAGCATCGAGACAGGGTTAGCAGGAACCTCCTTGAAAAAAGCAACAGTCCAGACTGCTGCAGGCTGCTTTTCTCGTTTTCTGGCTTAACGGCCTATGTCGTTGGCGCCAACTGGTGGTTGAAATGGCGTACTACAGCCAAAAACCATCTTTCTGTTCGAAATGTAGCAGCCTGTTTTTGTGACGTCACAAAAACAACTCTTGGTGGAAGTGTTTGGCTGTTGCGAGATTACGAATACGACCTCTGTGGCTGGCAAGGAATACATGAAAAATGATAGAGCAGATTTGAGCTTTGAAATGAATTCCACCAGATTGGCGCTGCGGTCGCGTCCTATCTTTCCCATGTATTCCTTGCCAGCCAACTCAAAAGGGGGCGTAGCATTCGTCTCCCCCAGGCTGCAAGAAATTTGCAATTTAGTGGTGACGGGTAGTAGAAATGCGAGTGTGTGCCGGAGTCCGCGATTCATTGTTCTCCATCGCATTAATTTCATTCTAGGCCGAGAAAACTTTTTACCGACACCAATCTGTTTTGGCATCGACGTCGAGTCTGCAGTGTCGTCATCAATAAAGAGACAAAAGCCAAAAGGACAAGGAGAAGGAAAGTGCACACCCACTCGACTAGTATTATCGATCCGTTTCACGAAAATTTAACGCTATCCGAGTACGCCATGTTTTCCCCGTGAGACATCATTGTTGTTTCTTTTTCAACATTGTTTACTCTGACCTATGGATACGCAGTAGTACCAGAAGAGCTTATCTGCGCACCATGGTCACATGGACTAAGTGAGACCACAAGAGTTGACGAGACGACCTTCGAGTTGGCGACTAAAACGCTAAGCATCAGGATGACTGAGGAGGTTGGGGACTTTGAGTACAACTCCAACGACCTCATCGGTCATGGGGCCTTTGCCGTCGTCTTCAAAGGACGAAAACGAAAGGTGAGAAGAATTTGTCCGCATAAACTCCTTTCTCTTTTAATTATAGAGTCTACAATTAAAAGTGAAAGGCTCTTTTCTCGTTGTAAAAATTGTTTTCATTCAAAAACAAGACGGCTCTTCCATCCAGTCTCGGTCACGGTCTGGGTCTGCGACCCTTTTTCATGAGCAAACGCGGTTCTAGCTGACTTAATACAAGAATACCACTTGTATTAGTCTTGTACAATTTTACTACGAGAATCAAGCCCTATTATTATTATTTATTACATATTATTATCCTTTTATTGACTTATGATGTGATACTGCGACTCTGGGCAGGCATCTCATTTTTAATGTATTTTCGAAATTTATCTAAAATAAGTACATATGAAAGATTTTTTGCCTGTGACATCAAATCAAATTTATTTATTGTTATTTATTTGTCCAAATTACATCAACAATTCTGCTTCCCGTTTCAATTTTCCGTGTACATATTTAATTTTTTTTAAAAACACTTATTGGACTATAAAGATTCCAAGAAACCCGCTCATTTGGGGTGGATCGCCTATGTTGGAAAAGGTTTTCATTGCTCAAAAGAGGGATCCGTGCGATGGTAGATAAAAGATACTGGAAGGCATTGACATCTGTCGAGTCTTGCCAACCACTATTTACTATGAAAATATGTGGACGAGAGTTGACTTTTTGAATTCTTATCAAAATATCTTATGAGCTAAAAATAACACCATTCTGAATTTCACTGACCAGATGTAGAATTTGATGGGCTACATTTTTTCCTATACCACAGAAAAAATCCAAGGTATGCTTCTTTGAGAAAAATGGCTTTAAAAAATTAAAATGCATTTTAGTGACCTTGACCTTTGACCTAAGACATTTTGGTCAACAGAAAAGTTGTATGGAATAAAAAGTTACCAATTATGTTGAGATCCGCATTGCTCTAAACTCAATGGGAGCAAAGATTTTTGTTTGAAAAAATTGACACTCGAGGAGATGATCATGGAAATGAAAAGTCGGGCTTTTCCTCATTTTAAAATTGTATTTAAAGAGGATGGTACCACCTTAGGGCAGCAATATCCTCCACAGAAACTGATAGTTTAGGCCATAAGGATCATTTTGATAACCAGAAAATTGGGGGTCACCCCATAAATTTTTGAGAAAAACGCGTTTGAATTTAACATGGTTCGCTTATGAACAATTTTTATGAAAATCAATCAATCCCATTTTAAGTAAACGAAACTAACTTTGGCAAAGGTGTGTGACCCACCAACATGTTCCTTAATAACCCTGCTACAGATTTGGCACCAGAAAATTGGGGGTCACCCCATAAAGTTTTGAGAAACGTTTAGTTGAATGTTAAAAAACGTGTTTTTTTGCATTTTTCTCGTTTCGGAGAAAATCAATCCAATTTTAGAGCGCTTAGAATTTATTGATTTCTATAATCAAATATCATGAGAGTTCATAATTTGGTTCGTACAATTCTCAAGTAATGAAAATTTTTCATATTTTTCAAAATCCAATATGGCCGCCGGAGAAACATAAGGGTTTATTAAAACTGCTGCCAAATTAATTCGGGTGAAGATTTTTTTATTTCCTTGATAGTAAGTTAGAGTTAATGAACCAAGGTATCTTTTCTCAATGGTCAGCAAGTTTCTAGGTCAAAGGTCATTGACCCTGGCCAAAGGTCAAAATATAAAGTTTTATGCCCCTTGAAAATAGGCAATCTGACAAAAAATCCAAGATAGCCATTAGATGCGCCTTGTCATATTGTATCCGAATACAAATTTTCAAAATGTTTAAACAAGCCGTTTAGAAAATATTATTGAGTTATAAACACCCTGGCAGAGACGATTATTGGAGAAATAATTCTAAAATATTTATGCAATAATCCAGTAGTGAATTAATATTGGGATCAATGTAAAATTCTGACAGGGCAGGGTCCGAACGACTGAAATTATTCCGTTCGGATGAGTTAAAAATTAGAAAATGATGCTTTTTTCATCATATTTTAAACAAATTGAGTATGTTTTATTGTATTCCATTAAAATTTGAAGGATTTGAAAAACATTTTGTAGAAGGTTTCATCTACTTTAATCAAAAAACAAACGGCTCTACCAGTTTCGGTCACGGTCTGCAACCCTATTTCATGAGCAAGAAAAAATACAAAAAATCAGCAAAATTGAAAAAGCCACATTTCAACATAAAAATTAAATTTAAGTCAATTATTTGTGATCGGTCCCAGTACTCCCAAGGTCCGCTCGTCAGAAAATTTCGATTTTTGTCGAGCTCTCTGATTGGGTACAATTTTAATTGTAACCAATCAGACAGCTCAAACAACAATCAAATTATTTTTCATTATTGCTGATGCGCAGACCTTGCAGTACTCGAAATAAACCTGTAGCAGAGCAAGACTTACTTTTCAAACCAATCAGACTGTTGCTTACTGCTCAGTCCCCTCAAATTATGATCCCAAGAATTATCAATCATCTCCTCGAACGAATCAAAAACAGTTTTTAAGAAGGAATCAGAGGCAAACACACTGACTGTCTTGCAAATGGGTGCATCTCGATCGGGGGGCAACTCGCGATTCGCAGTGACACTCCAAAAGCTCAAGACTCTAATGTTCAAAAAACAAAATATATTCTATGAATAAATGTTCTATGCCGTACATGTATATTTTTGTGTTAAATTTTTAAAACTGTTTTTCAAATTGGCTAATGGGCATTGATGACAACAGTTGTGAATATGAAATTTTTATATCAATACATTTTCATAGTGTGCTGAACATTTCTCAAAAAGGGAAACCCGGCGAAAATGAAATGGGAAGTACAAAAGTTGAAATAAAATTAGGCGTATTCTACCACTTTTAATTTTAATGTAGAACTGGTAAAACTGCCTCTGAGGTGAATGAAAGGACAATAGAAGCAAACTCTGATATGGTGAAATATGCGAGTGATAATTACTTAAAACTAAACCCAAACAAGTCTATGGTAATGACAATGCAACAAGCACAAACGAAGAAAATAGTTCAGCCCGAAGTCTTCATAGACAATAAGGAATTATCTGTGGTGAAAAGTAGTCGCCTTCTTGGAGTAACGATTACAGATACAATGAGTTGGAGCAAGCAGTGCAGTGAAGTGGTTGCCAAGTTACGCAGTGTTACGTATCTATTTATCATGTTGCGAGACGAAGTGTTGGAATCAACTCTAGTCCAAGCCTATCATGCGTACGCGGCTAGCCGAATACTTTACTCCATTGTAATCTGGGGTGGCTCTACACATATGAAAGATGTTTTTTTTAGCGCAGAAGCGAGTAATCAGAGCAATGGCTGGTGTCCAATATTGGCGAAGTAATGCGGCACTAGACTCGTGTAGACCACTTTTCGTGAAATTTGGAGTTCTTACAGTTTATTCATTGTATATTTTGGAGTGCGTTAAGTTTGTGCGTAAATTTCCTGAAAAGTTCAAACTGAATCGTGATGTTCCAGGTGTTGTAGTGCGAACTACGCTTGCTACCAGCTATGTTGACACTGATTTGTTTGTAAGGCCAAGCTCACTAAATTGCGTAAATGAGAGTCCGGAGATAATGATTGCCAGAGTATATAATAAATTACCTAATGTACTGAAAGAAATATCTGACTATGGCAACTTTGTTAAAAGTGTCAAATATGTTATGCTGAAGTGTCAATTCTATGATATGAATGAATATTGGAGATGTAATTTCGAGTGCTTAAACTTGGAAGAGTGAGACTAAGCTACAGGGTTTTCGGGGGTGGTTTTCCCGTGTAGGTAGTGTGGAGGGTCAGTCAAATGCTTGCCCACCCCCGCCAAATTATCAATGGCGTGCGAGCTCCCTCAATCACTCAATTATTGAAAGTAAAAGTCAAAATTTTTTTGGAGTTGTATTTTATTTTGCTATTTTATTGACTTGTTGTAAAGACAAATTGGTGATGTATTACATATGTCTAATGCAATAAATTTTGATCTAATCTAATCTAAACGGGGTAAAAAACACCGTGACCCGGCGGTGTGAAAATGACGTTAATATGAATATGTTAGAAACACCGGGATCCGGTGTGGAAAAAATTGGTCAATATGTTGCAATACCGATAACTGATCAATATTGAGAACCGCAAACGTTACAAGGGCTTTATTTTTAAAATATTAATTTTTCAATCAATTTTTCCCTTTAATTTCGTGTGCGCGCATTTCACCGATTGTAGACAACACCTTTTGTAGGCAACCCCGTTGTGGGTTTGCGAGCTTCGGGCTGGAGGCGCGCTCACCCGAGAACGTGGCGAAGGCCGGCTCCGGGTGGGACAAAAGGGCGGGGATGGTGGGGGGCTCCTCAGGAGCCCCCCCCCCACGAACACAGCCGCCCTTTTGTCCTCGCCCTGCGCACCAGAGTCAATATCCACGGCCTTCCCCACGTCCTCGACCTCGCTGCGCCTCCACCCCTCGTTCGCGGCTTCTGCAAAAATTATTTATTTATTATTGTTCTTTATTGTATTATGGAATGTAATCACATGTAATGTCTCCCGTGCGACCCACCCATTTACAATTTTGTCAAATGAAATAGACAGCAGGGAAAAAAGAAATTTAACATATTTACAAGTTATTTTTGTAATTTACATATTCCTCCTCAGTATAGAACTTGTGAAAACTAACAAACTTTTTTAACAAGCCCACAAACTGAGGGAATCTCAACTCCAATCGAATAGATACAGGCAAATTATTATACATGCGCGACAAGCAAATGAGCGGATTTTTCCTCGAAATAGCACACGTCTGGTACAACTCGAACTTCTCGCGCGTCTCATAGGCATGCACATCTCGCGTTTTAACAAAATACTGAGGGTATTTACGCACAAATTTACAAGCCTCTATCAAATAAATGGAAAACAGTGGCAAAACATCAAACTTCTTAAAAAGAGGCCTCGGCGAACAAACAGGCGTCGGACCAGGCCAATACCGCTCACCGGCCATCGCACGAACAAGGCGCTTTTGTGC